GTGTATAAGAGACAGTATATATATATATTATATATATACCGAATATATATATATATATATATATTTATATATATAATAATAAATGCGTTTTATTTCTATGTTGCAGTAAATGATTTGTTGTGATGTTAAAGCGCTATGTAATAAGCGCTCAATAAATAAATAACAATTTTGATTTGTGATTTAAAAAAAAAACATTTTCCACCTTAATGTCTGTCTCTTATACACATCTAGATGTGTATAAGAGACAGTTCTAGAAGTGACCATGGATATTGGCCTGTCTTTGCAGACGATCTTTTTGTTTACTATCTACACGCAGATCTTCGTTGCACAGCGTGTGGTAATGGGCTCGCTATGGCAATGATGTTACCTTGTGGTTGTCGGTATTGTTTTGTTTGTATTCCTGGCAATAGGTAAGTAAGCATTTTAGTGGTCAAAACGTAGCGACGGTCGTTTTCGCATAGAGTGCGGCAGTGAAACATACGAGTTCGCCGCTCGGGGATAAGAAATATTACAATGAAGCCAGTGAATGAAGAAAAATCGATGATTTCACTTCACGTTTGACAACGTACTATTATGTCTACATTAGCATGGCTAAAGATGGGCACACACTGCACCCGATGGTCGTCGTCGCAATGGACCTTTCCACTAAGCTCCGCCCCTTGGATTTTGTTGCTGAGGTCCCACAAGACGGCAGTGTTAAAACATACGCGAACACGTGCGTTTGTGGGACAACATGTGTGTTTGTAAGACGCGCGCGTATTCCTAACGCTGTTCTGATTAGTCAGTTGTTAAGTATGATTGACACTCCGGAAAGTTCTATTGGCAAAGTTGAACCAGGTTCGACATTCCCAACAATTGTCGGCGACTGTGGCCGATAGGGTGAGCGATGCTATTGAAACTGAGTTTAACGCGACGACGAGGGGCACGCAACGGTTCATTTGGATCGCCGACTCGGCAAACAACATCGCGTCGTCAAGCTCACGAAGAGCGCTGATGGATTCGTCAGTCTTACGACCGTCGGGGCGCAGTGTGCCCAGATTTATACCGTTTGGTAGAAAAAGCCGTTTTGATAACTTTGGAGGAGCCAACGAGTTCAAAGGTTTAAACAATTCAAGTTAATTTACAACAAAATTTTGTCTACTTGGATCTGTCAAAATGTAACTTTTCATGATAATCCTCTACACAGGGGTGGTGTTCGTGTTTGTTTGGGTTGTGGCAGAGAGTCTGTCAACTCAGGTCTGCCAGATCATCATGCTCGAAGGATGATGCAAGAGCAAGTCATCAGATGCATAAACTATAAAAGGGGCTGCACTGCGCAGTTCATGGTTACACATTTGACGCAGCATCTGAGAAAAGAGTGCAATTTAAATTCCAGTCTTTATTACCAAAAAGATGTCAGTGATATTTCACAAGATCATGGTAAGTTAAACTCGAGTTTTACTTGAGGTTTTTTTTCTTATTAGGCATGTAGACCTAAGTTATTTTATGCGTCACAAAGCATCCCAAGATATTGTGCGGTTGACTTAACTTAAATCTGTTCGTTAAACCTGCTGTACATTACTTTTATATGTTCTTTTCAGATACACCATCCGATAATGGTATTTTGGAGTGGAACGTTGAAAACGTATCAGAGGCTAGGACGATTGCCTGCGTAAACAAAGGAACAGGCTACCAGGACAGCCCTTCATTTTACAGCTCAAAAAACGGTTATCTTATGGGCGCCCGCCTTTACCTCAATGGAGATGGCATGGGATGGAACTCGCATGTATCCATTTTTATGTACATTAAGAGGGGAAAGAATGATGACAGCTTGGAATGGCCATTCGATCTTTATGTGAGAACTCCTACTTTCTAGTTTCACAAACACAACGCAGGAATGATATAGGAGTCGACCTACCTTATTATATATTGTATAGGCCTAAGTAAATAAGATTAACACACCCAGGACAAAAGCAGTGTCCGGAGACGGAATGTTGATGTAGGCCTATATTATATAGGCCTATACCTTGTTACCACCTTGTCTACCTTTTCATCTGCCAGTTGGCAGGTCCATGGCAGTCATCTTCTTCTAAGGTACTAGATCTAAAAACCTCAATACATAACCAGTTACACAGATTATAAGTTGAATTTCTGTATTGAAACACAATGTCTTATTTTGAAAACATTCTGGTTTTTCAGACAACTTTCGAAATATTGGATCAAGAAGCACGACGAGAGAATATAACTGATGGTTTTCCGGCATCTCCCACGTCGAACAGTTTTTATAAGCCAAAGAAGGATAGAACTAAAAACATTCCGACTGGATGTCCATTGTTTGCTCCAAAGGAAATCTTGGATAATCCAAAATATGTGAAAAATAATACTCTCATGATTCGGGTTATTGTAGGCCCAAAACAGTAAGACAACATAACATAACACAAAAAAGTTTCATCCAGGCTATCAAAACCAGGTTTGTCTGCAGTCAAGTTGAAATATGTTAATTCTTGTTGGAGGGCTGATGGGAAAATATTAGAACGGTTTAAATACTTGTATGTCATGAATGATGTTGGTTGGAGTATTTGTCATAGATTTAGACTTTTATCTTCATTTATAGGACTAACTCAATAACATTTTTAACTATACTTAAATACGAACGCCGACAAATTCATAAAAACTTTGGCTTATGAGCTTGAAACAGTATTTAGATTTAATTAATAGTAAAATTCATTTTACATTGAAATACATTAGCAAGGTCCGCTCATAAATGAATAACATAATAACAACATAACAATATCTGGTAATAAGCTATTACCACCACCCCGGTATTCCTTAGTCAATGTTTTGGGGTTTGAAATTTAATATTTCGATTGTACAGTAGGCCTATGGCTTAAACTATTACAGTACTAACGAAAAATGTCAACTTCATTTTCTTTTGTGGGAAAATAATGGGGGAAAGGAACCTTTTGTGTAATTGGATTCACAAGAATAATCATTCTTCGACGAACATTGCATTTAGATTTATATTATTATTATTATTATTATTATTATTATTATTATTATTATTATTATTATTATTATTTATTATTATTAATATTATTATTATTATTATTATTATTATTATTATTATTATTATTTATTATTAATATTATTATTATTATTAATTATTATTATTATTGTTTTTTTTATTGTTACCGTATTATTATTATTATTATTTGTATTATTATTATTATTATTTTTTCTTTTTTTGATGGAAATGAAAATTACCATACTGTACAACAACGCTTTATTACTGTCGCCATTTTTTTCACTTTAGAAAACGATTAACATGTAAGGCCGGCACTCACTGCGCCCGACGGTCGCCGGCCGACGCGATTCACGAAGAGCGCACCACTATGGCACGCGCGGAATGGATCGTTATTAATGACGATCCGTTCGGACTTGCCAGCGACAATCAGCAGACGGCGTCGCGTCGTCTAGCACTCACGGGGAGCGGAGTAAGATTCGTCGTGCGACGGTCGTGAGACCGTAAGAGAAGCAACGCAGATAAAAGTACCTTGCTTAAGGAGGCTTAAAAAAGCGTTAGTGGCTGCAAGTTTTGGAGAAGTGCAATTTTCAATGTTATAATATACTATTTTAAAATATAATATACTATTTTAAAATTCCTTAATGAATATTAATATAAATACTTGTAAATAATAATAATTATGAATAGACCTAAATTCTTATATTTCTTTGCACCCTCCACACATTTCCAGGTCTCAAGGGTGGTCTCGGTATCACTAGCAAGTGGACTTGGATTTACAGTAAGGCTTACAATTTTATTATTATGTATTATATAGCAACACAGAATTCTATTAATCCACCGTCTACGCAAAACTATTCGGAATACCGAATATATATATATATATATATATTTATATATATAATAATAAATGCGTTTTATTTCTATGTTGCAGTAAATGATTTGTTGTGATGTTAAAGCGCTATGTAATAAGCGCTCAATAAATAAATAACAATTTTGATTTGTGATTTAAAAAAAAAACATTTTCCACCTTAATGTCATTGTTTGAGTTTGTGGAAAGTCAATATTTGAATCTCGTCTTGTTTCTTTAGTTGATTATTTATTCTTTAGTTAATATTAATCGAAATTATTGTAATTTTGTTTTTGGTAGTCTTTTTAATAGGCTACTGTATCTTCTGTTGGTCATTTCTAACTTTAAGTGAATTGCTATAAATGTACTATAATATTGTTTTGGCGAGAGTGCCGCTGATAAAATGAGCGTCTGTTCATTAAATAGGCTATTTGTTTTCCCCCACCCACTTATCGGAGCCTCATTGATGACCATGTCGAAGCAGCACGCGGTGGACGGACGGAGGACGAACGAAGACGAGCGACATGGTAGGTCTGAATTCTAATACCCCATTCAGACTAGCATCGAATTGCGATCGGTTGTAGCAATTGCGACACCCAATCGCACCCAATCGCAAAGTAAAATCGTGTCTGAAAGCTCACCAATAGTAGTCGATATGTAATCGATATCACAATTGTTACCCGTTGTGATTGGGTGCTACAATCTTTATTACTCCCGATTACCACGGAATCCGATCGCACCGAATCACAACGAATTCCACAGGCACTGTTTGGCTGAGGTCAGTCAACATGGGCCTAGCCACCGGAGGCCTAGGCCCTAGAATGTAAAATTAGTTTATGTTGGTCTGAATGCGTTCGTTGATTGCGATCGGGAGTAATCAGTTTTGGATTACCCCCGATTACATCGCAACCGATCGCAACAGAGTGTAGGCCCTAGTCTGAATAGGGTATAACACTTTAGGTGGCGCTACACAATCTTAGCATACTGCATGGCTGCAGCATGTTCTGCATTTCGCCATCGCGAGTGGATTGTACGACATCAAAAAGTAGCATAGGAGGGCTACATATCATACTTTATTTAAATATTTATGTCGATCTATTGCTAGTTATGTCAGATATACAAAATAATGACTTTGTTGAAGTCAAATCAAAGAAAAGCAGAAAGCGAAGATTAGACGAAAAGAGTCAAAGCATGGACTCGATGGACGATAATGCTGAGCCCACGTCAACAACAGAGTCTACTGAACAGCCGCAACTTCCTATGGATACGGCGGCAAGAAGTGAGACTGTCCCATCTAGGCCCAAATTCCCAGCCCTAAGAGGTGAAAAATTACTGGTATGTTAACATATAGTATTCTTGCCATATTGATTCTCGTTGATGATCAATAGTTTGACTCAGTACTTCATACCGTATATTCTCACGCATAAAGTGATCCGCGTATGAATGATGAGCTTGAGAATTTTGTATGTATTGTTGGGCATAGCCTTAGGCCTATAGGCTAGGCCTAGGCCCTATATATACCATAAAGGCCTACAGTAGGCCTAGGCCCTAGAGATAAGACGAACCCGCTGTTTCATTTTTCACCGGCGGAATTTCTTGATATGCATCTAGTTGGCTAAAAACGGAGCCGAATAAATGTACTGTACCGCTAATCTTCCATATTATGGGCTTTTGAATGTTCAACAAAATCTTATTTCCCGTATTTAAAATTATGTTCATTCATACGAACTGTTAGCTTCATATTCAGTAGTTAATTCATAAGTTCATGTTCATCGCACATAAGGCCCAACAAAAACAAAAAAAAAATTAATAGTTTATCACCCTCGTGGGCATGCCTTTTCTATGGTACTGATATAAAATTAAAAAATTTTTTTTTTTTTAAATTATTAAAAAAAAAAATTTTTTATTTAATAGTTAGAAGATATTGTTTGTACTTAATAACGTTTTACTTAGAATGCACCAGCAAACAGCCCGAGGGTGATGTTTGACTTCGCCAAAAAAAAAAAAAAAAAGTTTCCCTCCCTCACTTTTCCAGCCTAGATAACAATATTTTTTATAGGCCTAAGATGAAAATAATTCTAAAATAAAACAAAATTGGACAGTACGTTTTGTGAGTATAAGACGACCCCCTGTTTTTCGATCATGATTTGCTATTTTAAGCCTCGTATTATATTCGAGAATCTACGGTACACCAATACCTGGGAAAAATACTTTGTAAAACAACATCTGTGTGAATGTTCACTGATAAATATGTAACTTTTTATTTATGTTCTAGGAAGGCAGTAATGAGGTGCGAAAGTTGCCGGTGCCATCCAACAGATACAGCCCCTTAAAGGAAAACTGGATGAAAATATTCACACCTGTAGTTGAACACTTAAAATTACAAATTAGGTTTAATTTAAAAACTAGACAAGTTGAATTGAAGGTATGTTGTCAAGTAATTAATAATAGTAATAATAATAATAATAATAATAGTAAAACCGTATGCATATAACACCTAATGGATCACAGATCCCTCTAAGCGCTTTAACATAAGTCTTAAACTATGGTGGAAAACTATACCCCGCCGGACACCAACCCAGTATTTCTGAGTCTAGGTTTCAGGGCCCTGATTACAAGGTAGGACAAGTTGCAGTAATTTAATAATTATTTGGTTATGGAAATATATATAAATATAATATATTTATATTTACAGTATATATATAAATATAATATAAAATAAAAACACTGGGTAGCACTTTATAAGAAAATTATTTAATACACAAGCCTGCTGGCTTCATCAGGCGTAGTATTTTCCTCTGGGAATGTTATATACTCTACAAAAATTATAATTACTGTATAGAGTAAACATCAGAATTATAATGGATATAGTTAAGATTACAATTACAGTCGAACCCCCCTCCTTCGGGATACCCCTAATAATGGGACATTCTTTTTACCGTAAAACTAGAGAACGTAAATCTGTTAACACTACCGCTAACCCCTTATTCAGGGGACACCCCTATTAAGAGATGCTCATTTTGGTCCTGAATAGTGCTTCTACAACTGTATAATGAACATACAGTAAACATCACAGAGTAAACATTATAATTATAAGGAATATACAGTAAACATTACTATTATATTGGATAATGTATACAGAACATTATAATTATAATAAAATACAGTAAATATATAATGTACTCCACAAAATTAACATAACATTTGTTGGCACTGATTAATCATTTTCAGGCTTCTAAAGAAACAACAGAAGTTGGAGCATTACAGAAAGGTGCAGATTTTGTAAAAGCTTTTATTTTAGGATTTGAAGTTGAAGTAAGTGAAAACTTGGCTTTCATTCTGAGTGTGTGTTGATTGTAATTTTTCTGTTGAGCGTGTGAAGTAAATTTTAATTAGTAAAAATCCTCTTCTATAAAGCTTAGCCCACACTATCAAATTATATGGAACAAAAAACTGTGATATGCCCGTATTTGGGTGTAATATGAGATACCATAATGGTCACAACACAAATTTATCACATAAAATTGGTAGGGAGCTCTCGATTTGCACGTTGAGGTCGTAGGTCATCAGTGACCATCCAACGTTCACTGCACAACATAGAATCGGGTCAGATTATGTCCTAGAATTTCCAGCTGACAATGAGAACTCAATGTTCTCGCATGCGCATATGACTTCTTAGTGATATTATTATATTCTAGGTCCGAACATTGTCGTGCTTCCTAATGTGGATTCTGAGTCTACTTAAACAAAAGTTTCAGTTTCATAATATCTGGTTAACCTGTATTTCTAAAAATTTTTTTTGTTTGTTTTGTGACTAATTTATTCTATAATGTGTATTCATGTTATCTTGTCTTATCAGGATGCATTAGCATTATTGAGATTAGACGAACTCTTTCTGGAAACATTTGAAGTTACAGATGGTGAGATTTCTATACAGTATTTTTACAAACATTATAAGAGAAATTTACCAAATTATTATAATAATTTTACTGTTTTAGTATACATAACACTCCATGCCTGAGTATTCAAAGCACAGTAGTGAAAAAATTGTTTGAGATACAATTTCTGAAGTTATAAATCATGTACGTGCATTTGACACATATGCTCACAACTCGGGAGAGGATTTAGAATTGGTTGAGGGGGTTTATTTTATTTTATTTTTTTAAAACATATTTATACAGGATACAATATCTGACAAGATGTACTGTAACAGTCTGTTTTTAAAATGGTACTGTTTAAATTAATACAATTGAGAAAATAATTAATTTAAAAAATGAAAAAAGCTTTAATCTATAACATAGAATACATTGAATTTTGTTGGCTAAAGAGGCCATAGCTCTTCCCCACCCCTCACCCATAAATTTTGCTAGCCATGTCCTTATCACTAAAATAATAACTTAGTAAAGGCCTAAATCAAAACTCTTTAAGGCCTTGGGCAATAATATTTATCAAACAGTGCTGCTCCTAATATTTTGACCTGTATTTAAACTCAATTGTTTTTATACGATTTAAAGTAAAAAGGTCATTACAGGCTCCCCTTAATGACAAATTTGTACCTCAACACCCTTATTACTTTAATAATATAATTTTTAATAAATGATGATATGCTATTTATTGTAAAATTGATGTACAGTATAATTTACCATTCTATATGACTGGTTTTTTTCCTGGAGAACTGCTATCCTTTCTATCTTTATGCATAACATATTTCCTTTTTTCTTGTAGTGAAACCTTTAAAGGGAGATCATTTATCAAGAGCTATAGGCAGGATAGCTGGAAAAGGTGGCAAAACAAAGTTCACCATTGAGAATGTGACAAAGACAAGAATTGTTTTAGCGGGAACCAAGATCAATATTTTAGGATCATTTCAAAATATTAAAATTGCAAGAACGGCAATATGTAACCTTATTCTCGGTGAGTTTTTTAGACAGTGCCTTATAGTCGTGCACTCCTTGTGTCCTACGACTGTTGCACGACAAATCAAACCCAACTTCCTGTGAGCGTTAGACAACGTGATGCTGTCTGCTGATTTTCAGTGGCAGCATGAATGGCTGGTCGTAGAAAACGAATGATCCGTTTGCATGCTTCATAGAATCGTGTCAGCCGACGACTGTCAGACGCAGGAGTGCCTGGCTTAACATGTATATTCTGTTTAGACATGCAAAGTGCCTGTTGAATACTTGAATTATTTGTTTCTTTGCGAGACAGCAGCGTAGCTCAGTCGGCTAAACTAGCGGTAGACAATCCAATCCAATCAGAACATTTGTAAAGTGCCTTTCTTTGCAGATACTGTGTGTGCTGAACCATGGAAATCCATTGTAAATAATAATAATATTAATAATATGTAGGTTTTTATGTAGCGCTCTATACAACTAAGTCTCATAGTGCTTTTCCAGATTATTACCACAGTCATTGGAACGGTGCCTATGGGGAAATTCCATAGTTTGCTGCATGAAACATATCGGCGCATTTTACACTCAAACCTCCTTAGGTACCCGCTCCTGGGTGGAGAGAAGCAATGCAGATAAAGTGTCTTGCTCAAGGACACAAGTGAAATGCACAGTGTGGGATTGAAACCCCGACCTCAAGGTTGGGAAACCAAACTGTTCCCACTGCGCAACAACTTTCACATGGCAGTGGTTCAATTCCATTTGCTGCTCACCATGTGTTTCTGCCGGAAGGCTGAAATGCGAGCGTTAGAAAAAGTGCACCGTCTTTCAGAAGAGAAAGGTTTTAGCTGATGATCCTGTGTGCAGTATAGCCCATGTGCATGCTAAAGGAGGCAGTACAATAAATAAAGAGTAAGGGATCGTCTCCCGGTGTACTGCCTAATCAACACCAGAAAGATCTTACTGGAAGTAAGTCTTTGGTCTTTCATGAATTATCCTTGGTATTCATACTGCATAAATCCAATCATTTATTTTCTTTTTTGTAGGGAGCCCTCCTTCTAAAGTTTATGGCAACATGCGAGCAGTGGCCAGTCGATCAGCTGAAAGGTTCTGAAGTTTGCTATAAAGTATTAAAAGGTCAGCAAATTAATCATGTTTTTTCTTTTTGAACCAGGAGTGGATTTAAAGGGGGTTCTAATACCCTATTCAGATAAAAAAAACTCTCTTGCGATCGGTTGCGATGTAATCAGTGGTAATCCAAAACTGATTACTCCCGATCGCAATCAACGAACGCATTCAGACCAACATAAACAAATTTTACATTCTAGGGCCTAGGCCTCTGGTGTCTAGGCCTATGTTGCCTGACCTCAGCCAAACAGTGCCTGTGGAATTCGTTGTGATCAGATTCTGTGGTAATCGGGAGTAATAAAGATTGTAGCACCCAATCAATTGCGATATCGATTACATATCGCCTACTATTGGTGAGCTTTCACACACGATTTTACTTTGCGATTGGGTGCGATTGGGTGTCGCAATTGCTACTAGCATGGCATTGCTAGTCTGAATGGGGTATAAGCAGGTTTATTCCTCTTCTAAATTGTTATGACTGTAGTAATAACCTAATAAGTTAACCTAAAACTTTTATATAAGACTGTTACTTATCAAACATGTTATGAGGAGGCCACACTCTCATGGTTATGGTTAAGTGGCATTTATTTGAGTATATACATATTTATTTTAAACCAAAAAAAAAAGGGGGAATTTATTCAAACAAATACAGTAATTTGTATTTTAAATGTTGCCTATTGTATTGAATATTTTGAGATGGAAAAGTAGTTATTTCAGTTGATGTTTAATTTTTATATTTTATATAATTTTTTTAGGAATTCAAGAACTTAAAATTGGTTGAACGACTTGGATTTCAGACTACTCAGAGGGTTTGTAGACTATGTCCGACTGGCTCTTTGTTGCAAGAACATTACATAGGTGGTCATTTTGCAGTTCACCATTATAGTCATGCTACTTTATGGTCAGTGGATGCATTAGCCTGGATGACACAAAAGAAGAACTTTATAGTTTACATTACTAGGCCTAATATAAATACTGTATATAAATTAGGCCCCATATAAAATGAACATATTTTATATTTACTTGAGTCAAATTTGCAGTGTATCAAGAGAATAAATTTCAGACTATTGAGTAACTATATATTTACGATTGAAACTTGGACAGGGAACAATATTTTATATATAAAATATTGAGTTTTAACGATTTACCTTTGAAGAAATAAGATTAAAATAGTAATCCAAACAGTATAGATTGTTTTTGTCAGTGATGTGTACCAGTATGTTCAAGCAAGATTGCCTTTGTCAATGATGTGTGTGTTCAAACAAGAAGCTGATGACATTGCAAACAATATAAATGTATGTATGTACAGTATTGTACGGAAGCCTGTTAGTGTCCACAGTGAATAAAAATTTCAAATCAGTTAACTGGCGGCCGCCAGATAATTAAGTGGCGGCCGCCACTTATTTATGGGTACCCAGGTTGCGGTATAAATTTTTATTCACTGTTGACACTAACAGGCTTCTGTAGTATTGAGTTTGAACATGATTATTATTATTTATTCAGGCATAGAAATACAATACAATACATTACAAAGAACCTAACAAAACAGTAGCTGCCTGAAGACAAAAAAGCAGCATAAACCACTGTCATCAAATAGGCGTATACCTACCAACTAATTGAAATGATTTTCAGAAAAAAAATGTTTTCAAAATATAGAAATTGAAATGGGGCAGGGGTGATAATCTATTTTTATTTTATGAGGATGCTACATGCCACATCGCCACAAATCGTTGATCCTTACAAACCACAAATAGATGAAAAATGCTACATGCTACAAGGCGGTTGCTTATTCGCCATTTGTTGACAAGTGGAAAACCTAATTATTGTAGAGATAATTGTAACCCTAAGAAAGTTGCTCCAAACTTATGGCAGAGGAGAATATGAGAGATTCCTTGAATGTAAAAACAGAGAGTATTTGAGGGCTGATTGCAAAAGAAGATAACAAATTTTATTTATTTAAGGCAACTTTTAAGCTTTTATGTGAAATTTTATGCGACACAAATATGTGATACAGTATGTCCATATTTGGCTGTAATATGACATCATGATGTCAATATATGGGCACATCACACAAATTTGTCACAAAGCCTCAAGTCCTGTCCATTCTATCAAATTTTGTTTGACAAAAACATGTGACATGCCTAAATATGGTCATGATGACATCACATCATGACCATATATAGGCACATCATGACTATATATGGGCATACAACAGTTTTTTTGTCACATAAAATTTAATAGCGTAGACAAAGCTTTAGAACATATTGGAGAAGCAAAGCAAATCTTTTAAGCCCTGTCCAGACTTCCAAAATTTATTTGACAAAAACATGCGACACGCCCCCTATATTTTGTTATGATGACATCACATCATGACCATACTGTGTATAGAGTTTTTCGTCAAAGAAAATTTAATAATCTAGATAGCAGGGGCAGATCCAGAGATGTCCGAAGCAGGGGGTTGGTGGCCGAAAGTGGGGCTAATCGAGACAACACTACCCTAGGGGGTTTTCTAGACACCCGAAAAATAAAGTCAAAGGCATTTTGAATGATCAATTATTTCTTTTTGCCCCACATCCGCCCCGGACAGAGCTTAGGAATTTAAAAGAGAAGCAAAGGTGAAATTATACAATTACAAGGTGTTTGCATTTCATTTTCATACTTTGGCAAATATCTACCAGGAAGTTACTGAATAAACACAATCAAATATTCAGTGTAACGTACTACAGACATACTTCAACTATCAGCATGCTTATTAATAGCAACAAACTAATGTGCATATACATTGATGACTGCTACAGCAGCAGTTTGATTAAATTACAATGTACTAAAATGAAAAGCGGAAGGCAACTAAATTATAAAGCAACTAGTATTGCCATATCTTATCTTATTTTTTTCATTACATGCATAATTTATTTCCAATTTCAAAAGCAAATTCAGTGGGATGGCAATGAATTCAAAGAAATAGAAAAGGGCTGGGGAAACAAACTCAAAGCATTTAATATTATTATTATTATTAATATTAATATTATTATTATTATTATTATTATTATTATTATTGTTTATTTATATAGCGCATGTCAAACTTTTCTATGTGCTTTACAACAACAAAAATTGATTTCAGTTAGTTGTAGCTCAAAGTAAAAGAAATAAACATTAATGTAATAATAAATATACTACATATTGGTAGGTTAAAAGGGAGTGGGTGGCAGATGGATTAGGCACCATTCATTTTATCTTCTTTCTCTGTAATTCTTATTCTTTAAAATGAAAACAGTTGTTTTTATGGAAAAAGCTAATATTTATATAAAAAAATATATAATTTGCATTATATAATAAATTGATAATAATTACAATTAAATTATTTTTATGCATTAAAATTATTACAATTTGAGTTGTTATGTTATAATTATGATTTCATATAATATAGTGTCCTTTATTGTGCTAAATTATTACAAATAATAATTCATAGTGAATGGTTCATCAAGCAATTACAACATATTTGTTATCAGCCTGGGAACAAAGACAATAATTCAAACAGTAAAACTTGCTCGCTAATAACAAACAATTCAAATGCAACTGCAACCTGAGTGTACATTATGAATATGATTATTTCATAAATGAGTGCAGACTATTCCCCGCTTCATGTTTTGATGAATTTGTCAAGTGCTATGCAGACTATCTAATTTTATTTGACACAAACATGTGAGATGCCTAAATATGGTCATAATGACATCACATCATTACCATATATACACACATCACGACTATATATGGGCATACAGAGTTTTTGGTTGAAGAATGATGTCTCCTTTAATCATTCTTTCTTCTGACAATTGGAAATAGCGTAAATGTTCTAGGAATAATCACTACTTGATGCTCATAAAAATGGCACTCAGACTGTAAATACAGTTGTAAATACAGTGGTCCCTGGGGAGGGTCAGGTATACCCAATGGGGGGGGGGTCTGCTTGGTTCCCTCGGTGAGGGTCCTGTTCCCCCAGCATCCCCCTGCTAGTGCTGCCAACTAGAGAACATTGGCCGAGGTTTTTATCGTAAGTGATAGAGCGTACAAGAGAAAAACAAATTTATTTATTTGGAGATCCTGGAGATGCCATTGAAATTTGTACCAAGAAAACATAATCAAATTTTGTTTTGGCCATTTGACAAAGGCTTTTCTCAATTATCATAAACAAACCCGAGGTTGCTAGCGTCATAACGTTTACTAGTCACCGATTCCCATGAGTTATGTTGAAATATTTTTTCAGAGTATTGTTTTTGCGTAACTTACATGCTTCTAGCTTAAATTGATCATTATAATCCTAGATTATATATTTTAAAAATTATTTGTAATAAAATGTTAATACTGCTCGATTGATGACAATAATCATATAACCATTATGATAGTATAGGTATCTGAAAATACACATGAAAATGCATTGCAAATGCCCTGTAACCTTCACAAGTCCTTCGATAGGTGGCAAAATTTCCTGCTTAGCTATGTACATAATAAATTTGTGCTTTTCATAGTGTATTATGCTTGGCCTTTAATGCTCTTAAAATGCAGCTGTATGTTGTTTAGCTGCGTATTGTGTGCATCATTGGATTTTGTGCAGTGAGGTAGTGCTAGTATGTTATTCCATGTTCTTTTTTAAATATCACGTCTGTAATTTTCATCTAATAAATAAATGTTCAATATCAGCTACCAGTTTATGTTTATCTCAGATATGACTATAACAGTAGCAGGAGGTTTCTCTGTTGTTTTTCAATATTCTCAACAATGTTTTCTAAATGATTTATATATTTATCTTTATTATAGAAGTGATGTTTTGCCGTACCTGGCATATAATCGTACTGAATACTCAGTACGTTTCCAGATACTTGCGAAAAAAACCCCCCAAGTGATTCGGTTGGTAATCGAACCCACGACCTCCAGATAACTAGCCTGGTGTACCGTGTCAAAACCACTGACCTTGTGCTTCGTGACTAGTGTTGAATCCGATCCCCAAGTAGCAGTGGATACCCCCATCAAAATATCTTTATTAATAATAATTAGCATTTATATATGCACAGTATATATAAACAGAACCATTAATTTTTTTAATAGATATTTTTATATTATACAGTATGTAGGCAAAACATACATAAAAAATGCATACCGGTATTTGTATAGAGATATAAAATTAATTCACATAGGATTTACGAGCATCAAATTACCATATTTACATTTCCTAATTAAATTTACTCATGATTTCAAACACGCTTTATGGTTCATTGAGCACAATCGTACACACCCATTGCAGTATAATGGTGAGAAAATATCTACTTGTTAAACACTGCTTAAAATAATCCCATATGTTATGTTAGTCAGCATTATCATCTTTCTCAATTTCTTTAGTCTTTAGCTGCGACATCTGTCGACATTAACATCAACGCTTTCATGGTACAATGCTGTGGTGGGTAGTATGTTTTCAAGCATTGAATTTGCTTTATAGTACTTAAAAACAAAAACAAATTGAAGTGACACAATTTGCTTGAAAAGGCAAATTAATATACTAATATATTTTCATATTCAATAATCAACAAAATTTTAATATGTAATTGTGTAGCTCTCAATTGTTAGCATAACTTGTACAGCATGGATAATAATGTACATCTCTGGATTCTTCAGAACCAGGGCATATTTAGGGGGTGCATGGGAGGGGGTGGTGCATGCTCCCAAAAAATAACTGACGTCCCCCAGCCTCCCACCTCGTTGAAAATGTCTGAAGCAAAAAAAATTACGCTCAAGTAGTTGAAAATTACCTCACATCCCCTTATTTTGCGACCCAGCGCCTCTTGCTCAATCGTCAAGCTCCCCACTCCACCTTCGCACCCCCATCATCCCCATTTCAAGAATCCTAGATATACCACTGTTCAAACAACACTACCTTTAGGGGGTCCCGCAAAATTTTGTTGTCTAGTCTAATAACCTCAGATTCATTTTGGGCAGTCAATTATTTCCTTTATCTTTTTACCGTTCCAAAAGGGGGTCTTTCTTTTTTTTTGACTTTCCAAAAGGGGAGGGGGAACAGAATTGAAAAGAGAAGCAAAGGTGAAATTATACAAGATGTTTGCATTGTAATACATTTCTTATACGTCGAAAAATATCTACCAGGAAGTTTCTGAATAATAATCTCAAGTTGCGTGTGAGCAAGTCTTTTGTATTTATGGATGTTTATAGTACTTGCTGTTAGATGAAAATATATACATGATTTTTTTAAACAAGGCAAGACCTTTTTACACCTTGTTAACGAACCCTCCGGCCGCCAATAATGGTAATCTTGAATTTAAAAAAAATTTTCTTTATGGCTAATTAGCACACCCACTGCCATGAAAAAATGGGAATTAAAAAAAAAAAAATTTTTTTATTAACTGTTATTACTTTTATTACACCCCCTGCTGACTTGATATCTCCAAAAATAAGACGTATATTTCTTCATAATTATATAAATTTAAAGCATTTAACCATCCCATTACTACACTGTTTACATTCCACAATAAAATTTTATTTTTATTTTCTCCTCCATCTGGATGTTTTTGGCAAAACTCTTTGCTAAGCGAAAAACCAACATTTTATTTTTTTTTTATATTCCGCCTTCTTCTGATGATCTTTAAAAAACCTAAGTTCGCTAAACAAGGTATAAAAAGAGACTCGCCTAAAGAAGAAAACATTGATAACATGACACAAAACATTATGATAACAATACTTTATTATGATTACAATTAAATCCTAATACAAACATACACTAACCCAGTTTTGCTTGTCACAAACACATAAATCCTTAAAAACACAATCTTAAAATAAGTATATTATAACTGCAAGTTGCTATCGTTATGTTTGTATTTATGAATAATTGTACCAAACATGTTCAGCAGTTACCAACTCATTAAGAATAATGACATTCAAGTTACAATTTTTCTGAATTTATGGAATCCCAACTATTATGCAATAAATGAACAGATTCAATAATAAAATATTGTGTAGCCCAGCGTTCTGCAAACTATCAGACCAACGACCCAATTAGGAAATTCAAACTTGAGTTGTCCACAGATCAACATAGTCGGAATAAGAGCTAGGTCTATATCGTGCTTACGTTTTAATGCATTTTAACCACCCTGGTTTTTCTATAGTTTTTTTTTTCAACTATAGTACGTGTCATTACATTTTACATAATTATTAACATTATTAATTAGTTTAGTACTGAATATTATTACAAATATGTATAATATTGCCATGTAAGTGACAGACTAAAGCTATCAAGTTTGTGACCCACCAAAATATTTTGGCAACCGACTGATCTGATTTGTTGTCTTTGCCTTTGTGCTGTTTTGTTAGTTCTTGTTTGTTCGTTTGGCCAGGGGGTTTAGAGGATACCAAAACCTTGTGTTGGGCTCTTAGCCCATGGTGTCCTCTCGGCACCCCTCTGGCCATTTTCTGATTTGTTGTGCCGAATATGTAATAAATAAATGATGGGACGTGACCAATGGTTTGCGGAACGTTGGTGTAGCCACTTAATCAGTAATTTATACAGTATACAAGAAACATTAACAAACATCCCCAAATGTTACTCTGTTTATGTTGGTACTATATTTTTAATTTACAACAAAAGGATATTCAAATATATGGCCTACAAATGATATTCCTTGACAGTATTCAATTAAAAATTGAAAAAATGATATCTCTGCAGTAAACAAGGCAAAAGTAAAATTTACATTTAATATTTATTAATACAGTAATGCACTTTTTTTTGTATAGGCCTACAGTACAGTATTATATAATAAGATGAAACTTAAAAATAAATCTCTACTTTGCTTATCAATTCACAACTCCAGTTACTTAGTAGATATACAATTTAGCATTGACATTTAAGATTAAACAATGGACGTACTGTATGTATATTGCATGTGTAGGATCTATCCATGTATTAAGCATCATATACAGTATTATATAGATTTAATTACATTTACAGTACTTTCTATTTATAGAAACAATTAGCTCAGCGGATTATATATTTGCAGGAAGGTATTATTTTCTGATTCAAACTGAGGTCTGAATGAATTTTCAAAACCTTTCAAATATCAATATCAGATATAATACCAGTATTGAACCAATAAGAAAATAATTCATTTAATTTAATCATTATAATGATTGCCTAAAATTTACAGTTCTTTGATTATTTCTAAAATGGTGGGATGGGTTAGACAAATCAAACCAAAATATTTTATCAAAGTAGATTTATCTTGTATACTCTAGCTAAAAACTATGGTACTCCAATTAGAAAAAAAATCGAAGTTTTCTAAAATTAAGGTATTGTTAAAAATACTATATTGGTTAAAATGAAACCTATACATAATTTCTTTAAGGATTTTCTTAATTTTGCATGTAATTCAACAAAGTTTTGGAATATCAAGTTTTTATTGACAACAATACTGTATTCTACATGGGCTAGGCTTACCCCTCCCTTGGATGCTTTTGCGAATGTTCAATAAACGACAGTGTAAAAACGTGCATTCGTGGGACACGCACATATCCCTGACACTATTCTGATTGGTCTTTTGTTTTATATTGACACTCGGGGAAGGTCCATTACGCTAAAGCCGGGTACTCAATGCGCGCGACAGCGAAGTGACGACGAACGCATGCAACGGTGTGGAACCAACGGATCGCTTTTTAATGAGGATCTGTTCAGATTGCCACTGACAATCAGCAGACGGCGTTGTGTCATCTATCGCTCGCCGGAAGCAGATGTGGATTCGTAATGCGATAGTCGTACGACCATCATACGCCGCAGTGAGCGACCGGCTTTAATCTACAACTTAAAAACAAGAGAATTTTACACTCAAGGTACAAATAGCAGTGATACGACCGGCAGGGATTAGGTGGATGGATGCTGGGATATAGGGAGACTGGTGATGATTCCACACCAGCAAGAGGATGAATGGATTTTTGAGGACATGAAGATTGATGATGAGACACCAGTATTGTCATTACCATGATGGTACTACATCTACAAATGAATATGATGAACACAAAGTCATTATGATTGCAAAATAAAGTACTGTACAGTAAACTTAGTACAAGACTGTTAGCACTTTCAGTATTACAGTAGTAGAGCGGTTAAGGTTGAATTTCATAAAAGGCGGGAAGGCATGAAACTTCCCCGGGGCGGATGCAGAGGCGGTGCGATCGCACCCCATAAATTGTATTAAGAAAATAATTTTTGTATTGTTGAAATATTATTTTTATTATTATGAACATAGTACCGTTAAGATTTTTAAAATATGGGAGTGCAATTTCCGGGCACCTTGAGGTCTATATCCTCAAAAGTTTTGAACCGCAGTGCCAACCATGGTGGGCCTCAGGTGGTGTGGATTCTCACGTACCCCCTACCGCCAAATCCTGCATCCACCCCTCAGCTTCCCACAGCTACTATGACATCTAAGAATCATAAAAAGAAAATAGACCCCCCCCCACAAAAAAATGACTCCCAGTGGCTGCTATCTTGAAATCCAATAGGGCCACCAATATATTTAATTTAATAGCCAATATATTTATATCTACAGTACAGCATATATCACTGAAGATCTTTACCTACTGTATGTTTCATGCAATCATCAGAAATTATGTCAGATGGCTGCCATATTGGCCAAGGTTTAATTCTAATATATGGACATATACCTTTGAGTACTCTCTGTATTGGACATGTATAATACTAATAGGATAATTACTCATGTATCAGACATGAACAGATCAAAAAATAATATAATGTTCTGTCTAGTTTGGAGAAGCCAACCTTGAACTAACAGTAAAAATCAATGCTTATTTATTTATTGCTGTTATAAAACATTCTACAATGTTTATGGAGGGCCACATAATCTGTAATCTCACGTAAAAGCAGAGTTTAAAAATGTTATGCACAGTCTCAGCAAAATTTTAATATCTAATACTGTACCCCTAATACTTACAACATGTGTCCATAGTCGTAGAATATTTATAAAATCAACAAAAGCTCTGAATTTATGTTTAATGATATACTGTACTGTACATCTGTATGAAATTATCAATTTTGTACTACAGTAGGATTTTAACATGCCAAACACCTTAGTAGCAAACAAGCAGAATTATTATTATTAATAATTGAAATATCAACACAAAACAATATTTGACAATCTACATATTTAACAAGTAATCAAGCAACTTTTACAACAGGGATTTTTAACATTAAAAATGATAAAATTGAAAAAAACAAATTTACATTTGAATAAAGGAATATAGCCCTAAAATTCAGTAACTCACAACATATGACCTTAAATGTTTGGATACAATTAAAATTAGTAGTAATATCGATGTTATTGTTAAATGTTTCTCAATTGTTCCATTACATCTACTGAAAATGAGATCAAGCATTTGTATAGTTCCAAAATATTTACATTCTGAAATCATCAAAAAGAAATCATTAGAAATTTAAATCTATGATTAAGAGTACAGTAACTCTTCATGGTATAATAAAGGTAAAGAAATGCACTTGTTATGATGACTTGATTAAAATTATAATGAAAATTTACATTATTATTTTTTGATTCATCAAATCAAATCAGCAAAATCAATGGCCTTGTAAAATGCTAAAATACTGGAAATATATTAGACCCCCACCAGTGCTGTTTAAAAAAATTAATACTTATAGTGATACAACATATGCTATAGATCCCTGGTTCTCAAATGGGTTACAACCCAAACTGTAGTTGGGCAAAACTCTTCCGACGGTTGTATGTCTCTGTATCTGACCAAGAAAAAAAATTGAAATATCACACTTTTTGTGAAGTATACAGCTTGTAGAAATTTAAGTAGGCCATGAAATATGAAGTTATATGTCACAATTCTCAATGTCAATACTGTTGGAACAGAATACATTACAAAGCAGGCAACATGTGTAACAGGTTTGGTACACTCATCCACCAGATGGCACTCTCATGCACTGTACTGTACAATAGAAACTGAGCATGTTGTACAGTTGATCCACCAAATTCTATAACACTATTAACAGCAGCAGAATATGTACAGTACTGTTCACTAGAACACACTGTACAACAGTAGAATTTCCAGTAGATTACTGTATAAAGTGCTACACAACAGTAGACATGCAGTGCTGAACAACAGTAGAAAATGTATTGCGCATGCAGGCTAATATTTCTAATCAGAAGTTCCATGTACTGTACAGTATTCAAATACATTATGTAAAACTTAGTTTACAGTCATTTTGAAGTTAACTTTGGCACTTAAGGAAAATATCATTTAATACAGTATATTACTCACAATATTTCAAAAAAGTTGACTATACATGCAATGGTCTATATACTTTTCCTAACTTTGGCATGGCCGGATATTTGACAATTTTTTAAACTACTTTTTCTTTTTATTAAAATATACATCAGTTTCAGGGGATGCATCATTAAAAACTGAATGTAACATAGTCTTCCTCTGCACATCAATGCTAATTTCATTAATTTTTTTTAAAAACACCTTGCAGAATATATAGAGTATATTAGGGCTACTGTATGTTCCACTATTTTCATCACAATATTTACAACATATCACAGCGCCAAAAACAGTGGCATTTTTTAACCCATAAATGCGCTCCCATCAGATTGCTTTTTTCCTACAGGTACACCAACTACACACAGGTAAAGTGAGAGTGTAAAGCAAGTCCTTGTTGAGCCACAGGGCTCATAGGGCTGGAACTTATCCCCAGTTTCAAGTAGTGTGAAACAGATAAGAGCGTGATGATCCCCCTTGGGTTGGATGCTGGTCTACCACAGGTTTACTTACTGCCCACTGATACAGCTGGGTAGACTGAAGCAATGTAGATGAAGTGCCTTGCTGAAGGACTCAAGCAAAATTCACAGCGAAGGATTGAAACCCTGACCTCAAGGTTTGGAAACCAAACCATTTCCACTGTGCCAAACAGCCTCCACAAAGTGATAGTGTGAAGATGTTTTAACATTGGTTTTAAGATTATTATTATAGTGGCATTAACCATCCTGTAAATTTCCGGCATATCATTCATTTAGGTACTTTAGGTACAGTAATTTAATTTAGGAAATGGGTCATTACTCATAATAAATACATGAGATCGGATAATCATGTTTGCATATCTCTTTTTTATGATGGAGTTTGTACACTGAGGTACGGTTACTATCAATGTCAATTTTTATCAATGTATTTTCTAAACAATTATATCAATCTAAAAACGTTGCCTGTTTGCTGACTCCAGTGTTGCAATATTTGCAAATAGCTCAGCTGACCTCCTTAGATCGGAGTAGCTGGAAGGGTCACCCTCTTTAAATATGGTTAAAACAAAAATAGAAAAGTTTTCGGTGCTCCAAGAAATAGAGGATAATGGCCTGTTCCGGTAATCCCCGTCCATTGAATCGAAAAATCGACAGAGTAAAAGCATACGCACACATTGAGTTTGTGGGATAACATGTATGTTTGTACTGTAGGACACGCATGCATTTCTGGACCTGTTCTAATTGGTCATTGGTCAGTTGTTAAATTAGACTCAACAATCCAGAAAGGTTCATTCATTTAAACATATTAAAACAAATGTTGGCTTTTTGGAGATTTTACATGAATACTGTAGCTTATGCTTCAAAAAGAAACACAGGATAATATTGATATCAACAAATGTTGCTTTTTTTGTGGATTTTACAGAATAGCCAAGAATACAGTACAAGATAATTCAAAACAAATGTGTTTTGTCGATTTTCATTGATGTAATCTTCATGAATACCTTGTGCTCCAATTTTCATGAATGCTCCAACCAGAAATGCTGTACCTCTTTATCAACAACATCAATCGTTGTTCCCTGTTTTTACTTTTTCCTTGATGCAACCTTTATAAATATCTTGTGCTCTAAATTTATTTAAAGAAATGTGATGAATAAAAATATAATAAAGCATTTTATAAATCCGAACGATGTTGAAAAAAAAAAAAAGAAGACTTTTTCTTGAAATATGCACATAATGTATAGTGATAGTAGGATCTACTGCATTGATTTAATTATGTTACAGTACAGTAACACAATATCCAAATTCCTCTTGGCATTTATAACATTAACATAATGTTAAACAGCTCTATGGTAACGATTCTGTGTTTTCAAACACACAATCCAAATTCCTCTTGGCACTATTACATTAACATAATGCTAAGCAGCTCTATAGAAATGATTCCATGTTTTCAAGCACAGTATTTCCATTCCTCTACAGTACACGTAGATACTATAGCAAAATGTTAATGTAAGCAACTCTATGGCAATGATCGATTCCATGTTTTCCAACACAGTATCCCAATTCCTGTCGGCACTTTAACATTCCCATAATGATAAGTAGCTCTGTGGCAATGAGCGATTCCATGTTTCAACACATTATCCAAACACATCTTGGCATTATAATAATAACATAATGTTAAACAGCTCTATGGAAATGATTCCATGTTTTAATGCACAATATCCAAATTCCTTTAGTACGTAATGTTAAGCACCTCTATGTAATGATCGATTCTGTGTTTCCAAACACGGTATCCAAATTGCTCTTGACACTGTTTACTTTAACAATATGTTATTACTGTAAGACTTGCTCTAGCAGATTCATCTTGGTTGTAGATGTCGTGGTAATGACAAATTAGCTTGTAGCTTTACTGCCGCGGTAATCCACTCTGTATATATGCTTAGCACTTTTCATACCATTAGTAGGAACAAGTTTCCTTATTACTTAATTCCATAAATCGTTCTTCTTGCTACAGGCTCTTTATCCGTTCTAATAGTTCTTTTATGAAGTCCTGGACAATAAAATAGAAAGATACATATATATATAAGGTTGTAATTTTAAAAGAAAACATTTAAGTTGATAATATTATAACTGTACTCTGAATGAAACTACTGTACAGAATGTTAACATGAATAATTAAATGAACATCACACCCTATTGACTAATGCAGGTTCAATAAGTTTACAGTACTTAATGAATGTAATTTAATAAAACTTTACATCTCTACTGATAAGATAGATAATACATACTCCAAGTATTGAAATGCACGCCATGTCAGGATTCAATATCTCGACATTAATTGTGTCATCATCAGGAATGAAAAATCTCTACCGTATCTCCTCTGTAAGCCTACCTGTACTTTCCTTGAACACAAAATTGAGTCAATTTGTAGGGGTGTGGGCTGATATTCGGGGAATCTCCTTTTCAATCAAACTGCAATTTTTCAGCACCATATGCCTAATTAAAGGCCAATATTTGATTTTTTCCTGAAAATATTTGTAAAAGGCATACCCTGGGCTTTTGCTTGAGAAAAAGCTAGTACGTAAAAATTGGGCAAAAAAGGGGGTCGGCTTATACTTGAGGTGGACTTGTATCAGAGGAACTACAGTACAGAAGTTCAAAACATTATTTAGCTTTATCAGATACCGTAAAACCTGGGCTTCTTTTTTATGCAAACTTTGGATCTGGCTTCTTTGCGAGTCTACCTTTGTAGAAGTAAAGAGGGGGGCTTCTTTTCAAAATGAATGCTGTAAATTTTGGGAATTTGTACTATAAACATAAATGTATTAATCGGCATTAAAATCACCTAAACTACTGTATAAACCAAGCATGTTTTAAAATTTATTTAGTTTTTTTAAATTCATGTACAGCCCTTTTTAAAATCCTGTACAACCCATCAAACTCAAAGTCAATAAAACGACCGTCGATTTTATACGTGCGAGGGATAGCGGGAGGAACACCCACTTGATTCTTTTGTGAACTATTATATATTATCACCCGCAAAATCACTATGTAAAACCCATAAAAATGAAAATATAACTTTAAATTACTCATTTAACAAAATCATGTAAGTTATCAAATTTTTCAAAGTTAAAGACTTTTAAAAATTAATGATTAACAGACATTTTATTATAAGTTCCTAGTGCTGCCAGAGAATTATGGGTTATGCAGAGACATAGACACATTAAATTTAAAAATGTTTTCTCATTATAATTTACAGCTGAAAGCCTAACACATTGAAATGAACAAAACTAATACTGTACTTTAAGGTTGTCTTACCTGCGGTACAAATGTTTTGATAGTACTGTATATTTTTAACATAAAACTGTGATAATGCATGCATAACCAAAAGTAAACTGACGCAATTGTCACACTTAAATTGCACTTTCGTTTACTGTAATTTAATTTCGTTTGTCTTTGTTCGTGTTAAGTAAAGTTTTCACGATCTGAAGAGATTGTGCGACCCATCAATTTTTTTTCACGACCCAAACATGGAAAAAAACAAACTCTTTGTTTGTTTGTTTGTTGTTTTGTTAGTTAGTGCCTCCAACCATGAAAGTTGTCTCTATTAAATGCATACAGCACCAAAATACTATCTGTATACTATCCAGGCTAAGTTAATTTTTTTGAATTAAACCAACCAAAGTAATCAAAGTAACCAAAGTAAGAATAAACCAGTATCACTGCACCGTTTTCTAGCAATTTGAGACACGTGGCCAGCTGGAACAGTGATCTAGTGATACCGGTAGCTAATCTAACCAATCATATGAAGAAACAAAAACTTGAAATAAATATAAAGGAGTACTGTAGTACTTAGACTCAAGTTGCTGGCAATCCTTGAAAAGGATGCATGATATGTTCTTTATTTTGTACAGTTATGCGCTGTTAGCTATAATATAATAGATTTCTCCCCCAGTGAGTCAAGTATGTTTGATGATGTTTGATCCCATGACCAGTAAATATAATACATAGCTGTGTATTTATATAGCGCCGCTACTGTACAATCAAGATCGTAGCGCTGAAGAAAAAAAAAAATGAACAAGTAAACAGTCCAATATAAGTGTAAAGGAAGTAGAGGATCTTGTTTACAGCAGGCTATAAAAAAATATTGGCATATTATTGTGTAATATGTACTTTAGTTTACAATGTACAATACTTGGATATTATGATGATATCCAAATATAGCATAGCTACAATGTAAAATTTATGATAGAGCACTTTGCATTCTAGTACGGTAACGAATGACCTTCATTTGACCTCCAATTATGAATTCAGTCCATTTTTATTGCTTTGTCTCTGCATAATCCTAAAGGTTGTCATTGTGAGATGCAAACAGTCATCATTGCAAAGGCGCCATTGTAATGTAGATTGGTTCATGGAATAAAAATGTCCCTTGATGGCAACCACATCAGAACGGGTACATATTTTCTTTAGAGCACCTAATAAGGGATGTCAAGTGACTGTTTATCTTTATTTCATGAGTGTAAACCTGCCCTACTGTTGTGTAACATGCTAATCTACTTACAATTTCCTTTGTCATTGGGAGTCTATAATCTTTTTAATTATCTGAATGAAACATCAATTACAGTACTTTGTTTGCACTAACTCTCATATTTTCTGGCGGTTTTTCCCTTAGGCTGCCCAGAGGCATGGGGAACCAATTGTCTCTGAGTTGGTCATTATGCTAGTTAAGTACAATAAACATAAACTAAACAATACCATTGTGGGGGGTGAGTCAAGCGGCTGAGCAATAAAGCATTAGGATTGGTTTGAGATGCTCCTCACCAAGGGTTTCGGTTGGTAGAAGTATATAGTGTCTTAGAAAAAGGACTTAACATTGAGGCTGATAACCGGTTGATCCACTCCCCCCACCCCCAACCTTTGAATCCGCCTATGTATTTGGAGAGTAGGCCTACTGACTCTACACTAGCCACAGTAGTATGCTGTATTGCTGTGATAATTTACCCAGAGATTCAATACATTATGCTGAAAATGATGACTCATCGTGCGCAAAACCACTTAGTTTTTGTTCCAAATCACCTTGTGTACAAGATCTGAATATGGTCAGATACTACAGATGTAAAGTAACGAGAGATAAAGTTATGGTCGTATCTTATTCTATCGTATGTCCACACACGATAATTACAGCGCTTCTATCACTGAATGGAAAGACTGAAGAATTTATATTGACCTACTGTAGTGTTGATGATTTAATAATAAAGACGAAACAGGAATTATGTTTTGAGCATGGCTTTGGCAGGATTATTAAAAAGCTAATGTGGACGAAGGCCTACCAAGGCCAACATGGAATAATAAATAAAGGGCATTAAACTTTTATTATTTTTCACCTCACTGATTACAGCCATATTAAATAACATGGATGTTAAATTTTGTTTTACGCGGTGCTCATTCACACAACCATGTCACATTTCGTTAGATTTTTGTACGTGAGAATCAGCAATACGAGCACATTATCACAATAAAGCATTTCCTGTCTGAAAGGATTATGTACTGTACTGTTGAAGTTTCATTTTTGTTAAACTAGCAAATTGAAACATTAATAGTTAAATGAATACAATTGCAGCAGTTTTATTTACTATAACAATGAATAGTGCATAATCCCAAGCAAAAGTTTTCCAAATTGAATAAAAAAAAAAAAATTGTTTTATAACTCAAGCACAGTGCAAATCAAGACTTTTTATTCTGCCTAATTTTAAAAATGTTACTATACATAAATTGTATTGTAAGCATAATTTGTTAAAATTATTAAATTTCTTTGGCAACACAAGGGCCATTATTAAAATATAGTTTTGGTTTGTAAAATTGTAAACACTGGTTAATGTATAGTATCAAATTTATAAATTAAAACTTGAAAACTGAAAAGAGGGAGGGTGGCCTATATCACTGACGGAGGGCAGATGTCCTCAACGATAATGTAACAAGGTGGGGCCAGAATCTGGCCTGAAACTCTCAGAGGGGAACCAGGGAGAAAATCCCTAGAGCCTCCTCAACGGAGGCCCATGCTGTCAGCCTCAGCTGTTCATAAGATTACGTGCCCTAAATCGGTGTAGCTTTCAAAGCCACATTCCAGTCAGTGCACTGAGGAAGATCGCAGTGTACAGTCAAAAATTTTGCAGGAAATTGTTTTGTATTTTGATCAAAACTTTCGTTATAATTCATACACAAACTGCACTGATTACTATCTGCAATATTATAGAATTTTCCCCCAGGGAGTTGAGTATGTGTTCCAAATGTGTTTGCTCCAATGACCGGGGTTGTAATGTGAAGCGCTTAGGTTAGAGGCTTTAGGCATAAAGCGCTATATAAAATTGACATATTATTATTATTCTTATACACCAACACAGATGAGCAATTTTGTCAAACAAATTCAGTAAGTACAGTAGAACCTACAGTAACAAGCCAAAGCTTGTGTTTCAATACATTTTCTAGTCAATAAAGGTGCTACTCTACTTAGTATAAGAACCACAGTATGAATCAGTTAATAATTTAATGTAAATTCTTGAGATACTTACGTCTGTGGGTTTAGATGCATTTCGCAGTAACTCTTTTAAAAATGAAAAACGTTCTGCTTCTTCTAAAAGTAAAACATCATCAATATCTACTTCAATGTCATAATCCTCTCCTTCCTGCAAAAGAAAAAAAAAATTCTAAAAATCTGCTTTTCAAATCAAAGTGCATTAAAAAATCCATTCCTAATCATTTTAATATTACTGAAAAATTGTTCTAATGAGGACTTCGAACTTCCTGATTATACTTATCTATATTTCACTATCCTCTTGAACTACAAAGTACAGTATGTTCTACAAGCAAACGGTAAACTCGATTTAAATTATGGAGGTACTGTACAGTAAGCTGACAATATCAGAAGGGCTGAAATGTGTCTTACTGTTTTTAAGTTTACAGTTGAATCGTTGAAGAGCACCATACAAAATAATACTTAACCGACTGGCTACCACATTCTGTTCTCTGATGCATGGTTTGAGTTCCACGCACCACAGTACAGTTGTTTTCTATTTGTATACTGTGTTGTACTGGACTAATGTTAAAAACAGGTATCTGATTGAAAATGTACATTGGTTTAAAAGGAGAGACTTTTTAAACTGTACACTGTTCAGTGAACTTATTTTTTTAAAGATTGTCAGAGTGCAAAAAAAATTGTATTATTTTGCAAAATAATTTTAACAAAGTATCTAGGTGGAGGAAAAGATGCAAATAATATTCTATTGATAAATGTAAACAGTGTAGTAATGACATTTATTTATAAATGCTTTAAGTTTACATAAATAAGGAAAAAATATATACTACAGTATGATTTCAGGTGAGCGGAGAGCATAATAAAAATAAAGATTTTTATATTTTTTATTTTATTTTCCCAAATTCTACAGCAAAGGAAATTGCCAAATACAGAAATGAAACAATAAACAATATAAATATATAAAAATATACTGTATATAAAACAGAGTTACAAAATAAGAGCTAAAAATGACAGACACTTATTCTTTAAAACATTTATACAATAAATCTTAAAAGTCGATAAACTGTTGAAAAAGCATATCAATGTTCACATTGGACTGAATTGATGAACTATAAAGATTAAGTAGTCTAGTTTGAAACCCCCTTTTGGAATATTAACCCTGTCAAAAGGAACATTGAAAGTGAACTTAATTCTAACAGAAGGAGAAGAAATGAAGATTTAAAAAAAAACAACAATCACAACTGAACAGACAATTAACACTTTTGTACAAAAACATTAAATCAGACAACTAATAACATGAACATCAGAAATGGAATTTAATATAACAGAACATAATCTAACTTTAGTCTACTGTATCGAAAGTTTTAAAAAGAAAAACAATGGGTTTGGGTGTCCGGTTCCTCAGCAATGCCTCCAAATGAAACCAACCATTCTATTACTTTTACTAGCAATATGACCAATGTGTTAATAAAAAGACAGTTTTGAATCTAAAAAAATCACAAGGTCATTGTGACAGTTTTCTGGCAATGAGTACGCGCTAAGTGGCAAAATATTCAATTTTATTTTTATTCGATATCACCATATTGGATGGTGCGGTAAACTTGGTATGAAAAAGTCTCGCCTCAATAAACGATAATACTGTTTGGTTAAGTTTACAGTACAGGTACTAAGAGTTTAACCAAGGAGTACTAACTGTATAGTTTAACCTTTCACAATAGCCCTAGGAATGCTACATCCAAGTTTTCAGTGCTAGGTTTCAGACCGAAGAATTTCTTTCACTCTCCAACCCAGCGGGATGCAATGCCAAATACACCTAGATACATCATACACGGCCATCTTACAGTAGGTGTGCCCAGCTACACTACATGGTGCAACATTTTGATGACTTTAATCATTGACACATCCTGAGGGAGGCTGCCTCAAATTTTTTTTTCTCAATATCCTAAGACTATCATGAGCAGGATGCAATGCCAAATAGATACGTCATATACCGTCATTTTAGGTGTGCCTAGCTACACTGCATGGGGCAACATTTTTATGATTTTAATCACTGAGAAACACACATCCTGAGAGAGGCAGCCTCAAATTTTTCTTACACCACATACAGTATTGCTATGATGAATTTTTTATTCACTTCAGAATCAAGAGTTCAGAATTATGAACATTTTATATAGTCAATGGCAGCTTTTGTAAAATCCTTCCCCAGAAAAAAAAATTTAGGTAGCCTTAAATTTTTCTTACACCACATATTGCTATTTCTCAATACCCTACGACTTTTATGATGATAAATGATGAATATTTTATTCACTTCAGAAGCAAGAGTTCAGAATTATGAACATTTTATAGTCAATGGCAGCTTCTGTTTATAGGTAAAATTCTCCCACAGCCTAACAAAAATTTAGGTATTTTCAACACAGAAAAACAATTGTGAAATGTAACAGAATGCTCTTGCCAAAATACTAAATGCTACTGTAAATTAATAATATTTAATATCACAAAATAAATTATAATTTTAAAACAATTAAATACTATTATTTCAAAATCAAATTCTATTATCAAATTCTACAAATCGAAAACCATTAAAACATTAAAAATTTCCTATTAAATGGTAGGTGTACTGGTAGCTAGAATTTCCATATTAAAATCCTACCAAAAACAGACTAATGTAGAGCATGTAGTATACTGTATCTTGCACAATTCAATTTTAAGTTGTTAGGTAGAGAAATGTAGACTACTGTACTATAACCTAATAGATTCAGTATGAATGTGGTGTTATTCAGTAGACTCGTAGACTGAATTATGCATTAAAACAAACACAGTCCTGCTCAGGAATTGTTATCTTTAATTGTAGATTATTCAGTACGCATGACTAGATAATAATTGTTAATGATTAATTTCCTCTTCTTGTAGGGACCAGGTATATAGTACATTACAGGAATCACTGCATGAACATGGAGTAAATTCTTGTTAAGTAAACCAATAAATCTATTTGAGCTTACTCACTGTAGCTGCATGGCTTTAACAGTACGTTCAATTTTCAATTCAATGGACTTAACTTTTACACCACAGTAGCACACATAATAAGCTCTATGTTATGGTACAAAAAAAATTAAATAGAAAAAAATGTTATATACAGTACTCAGTTAATTTTTAATGCTGGGACAGTGTTGTTCCTTTAAATATTCAATTAATACATAAATATTCGGCTAAATAAATATACAAATAATCATAGCTGGTTACTGAAAAGTAATCTAATGTAATGTATTGTAAAGTAATTTATTGGTAAATTATCGGTAGACTACTTTCACACGCATGGTAAAATATATGAAGCAATTAATAGCATGAAGTCTTGAAAGTTTAATGTTTCAAGACTTCAAAAAGTCAAAAAATTGTTGGTTGTTGTTGTGATGAAAAGTTAACACAAACAATATGGTGGCTAAACGAATATTACATGTAAATATTTTTTTTTTATTTGTTTGTTCCCCGACAGAATTTATCGTCTTCCCCGACGGTGTAGACTAGGCCTAGCCACTAAAAAAACTTAAAAAGGGAAAAAAAAGAGAAAGAAATTAGGCCTACTAGCTAGATTGAGCAGTGGCTAGAAAACTAGGCCTATATTAACTACTACATTATTCACTAATCTTAATCTTTACTTGCCTTAAGGCTACATACAGGGAGTATGGTCGGAGCGGCCGCGAGTCGATACGCAGCAATTTGTATGGAGCGCCAAGCGTGTAGTATGCAAAATGTATGTTGGACAATGGGCATCAGAGTTCGATATTAATACTGTTTTAATCAATTATCAAATTAATGTATATTTTCTTTCATATATAGGGCCTAGCCTATATAAATCGAGATTTATTTATATTTAGTTGGTTTGTTTATTTATTATATCAAATATTATGATTTATAGTAGGCCTATGCCTATTTTCTTACAGAAATTAATGGTACTTTTTAAATCGCTTCTTTAGTTTATTCATGGAACTAGGCCTAGGCAGGCCTATATGGTTTATTTATTCGAATTTCACTAACTTGTGTTCAGTTAGTGAATGAACATCTGTTTGTCATTGCATTTGAAGATGATTGATAATTAATAATAATAATAATAGTAGTAGTAATAATAGTAATAATAATAATAAATTAATAATAATAATGACAATGTACAGTGTCACTAAGTGTAGGCCTAAGCCTAGACCTATGTTTTTCACGTTCATCAAATTTTATTACATTACGATATGAACGCTATTGACCAACGCTAATACAATCAATCGGTATAGCGCTACTACTGGCGTTCCATATATTTTGAGCGCGGTCGCTTTCCCTCGCGGCCGCTACGACCCATATCCACATACAGTACAGTAGGCCAAGGCCTAGGTAGGCTAGGCCCCATGGCCTAGATTTCGCAACTCACCTCGCAATCGAAGATAACTCTTAGCTCGCCGTCCATCCATTCTTCAATCTCTAACCTTAAACGCATGAGTTTTCTGTTGTATTTACAAGTTACATTATAATTTCTCTTCTTGCTCTTATCCTCTGTTATTATGGGTGTTCCATTACCATCAAATGATACCCTTGAATCATTGATAGCAGCCATTATTTTGGAAGAATTTCTTTAAAAAATATTCTGTCTTGCTCACCACAAGCCTACCGCAATCGCTTTAGCGTTCTCCCTTTCTCTGTTTAGTTGCTGCGCGACTAATCAATGAATGCAATTTTTGTTGTATCGGATCCCTTTCAGTGCTCATGAATAAACGATCGACCAATAGCTAATAAAAAGGGGCCGTCTCTTATGACGAATGTTTCTTTGATGTTCATGATCTAAAAAGGGCGACCTTGAGAGAGTCAATAGAGGTCGTCGTTTTGATTGGGAACAGTGAGTTTAAAAACTCCTGTAAAAGCCAGACTCCGGATGGAATAATATTTTTGATAAATGTTGTACAAGCATGGACCTATTATAGGTCCATGATACAAGTAAATATTCTCAGAAGACACAAAAAAGGTGTTTAAATATTTTAAAACCAGTGAAAAAAAGGGGCATAACCACCATTTCCCCACCTTTTCCTCTCAGTCTTTAAATATTCAAAAAAATTAAAACTTTTTGTCCTAAAAAATCAGTTGTACAACATATTATAAATAATGTTTTCATACGAAGCTGGTAATTTTTCAAAACAATGGAAATTTGAAATTAATTTTTATAAATCCAATTTGTTACGGGGCAAAAATTAACCATATAAAATGGAATCTTGGTAAAATACATTACAATACCTCAAATACCTTCGACAACAGACACTCATCAGGGGCGGATACAGGATTTAGCATAGTGGGGATGGAGTAAGTAAAGATGGACGACCAGCCAAGCACCGAGGGCATGGGCGGATGCAGCCTGCCAGAAAAAAGGGGGTGGGGTAATCTGCGAGCGAAGCGAGCAGCCTTAGGCTGGGGGCCAGGGGGCCGCCGAGGGCCCCCCGGCGGCGTCCAGGGGCAGAGCCCCTGGTGGGGGTCGAAGGGGGCGAAGCCCCCTTGAAGCCCAGCACATTTGAGGAATATGAGGTTGTATTGAGTCGATTTTGACTATCTAGCATGGTAGTTTTCAGTAACAAATAAATAAAAAAAACAATAGGTGTATGTCTTTTAAAAGAAATTTTAATATACAGGGTACCTGCAAAATGCAACTATGACATGTGTCATTAAATTAGTAATAATTCATCTACTCACAACATAATCTTTGACAACATACAAAGGCTCATAAATGTACACCATTTCAAGAGAGAAATTTCACTTTTAGAAAACATGATGAAGTTTCTCAGCAACATTGAACATAAAAATCAACAAAACAACAAAATCCGCTACTCTATATTAACACTGAGTAAATTATAAGTGTTCTATTTTTCACCAAGTGGATTTATGAATAGCATTCTCCTAGGGTGTTTTTGGTAGGAAAAGAAGATTTAAACACTGTGGGTGTAATTTTTTCTTTGCGAAAAAATAGAGGGGGGGGGGGCGTCTTTTGAACTTTGAGAGCGTAAAACAGGGCCGGCGGAACGTTTTTCAAAGTGGGGGGGCCCAACTTATAAGCAGGCGCGTAACAGGGGTCTTGGGTCGGGGGGGGGGGGCAAAGGTAATAATTTTCCCGGTTAGTAATTTATCATAATCATAAATGCGCGCGAAATTTGAGATTTTTTGGCACTTTAAGGAGATGAAAAAGGCATTTATAAGGGGGTGGGGAAGATTTTCCAAAGATAGATATTTCCCCTTGTTCCCCGGTGGTTAGCCTACGCCATCTGGCAGCTTAGATCAAAGGAGTTAAGTAGAGAAGAGGTTGCAGCGTGTTGTGAGTCTGGTCATTATGATATCTTCCTTTTTATTCTTGTCTTTATTTTTCTATCCTCTTTTTCTTTTTCCTTTCCGTTTCTCTTCCTCTTCTTTCTCTTTCCCTCCCTCTCACCTCTTTCTTTTCTCTTATTACCCGATACGACGGCTAGTTCAGCCCGGTAAAACCGTTTGGGGGGGGGGGGCAGTCTTCCCCTCCCCCCCCCGCCTGTTACGCCACTGTGGATATAGGCCCCGCTCCAAAAACTGAAACTGGTCGTGCGGCTACACATTCAGTGTTGCCTGCAAGTTAAGAACTGATACCGTAACTATTTTTTCTTATACACATCTAGATGTGTATAAGAGACAGGTTGTGAATCTGGTCATTTTGATATCTTCCTTTTTATTCTTGACTTTATTTTTCTCTTCTCTTTTTCTTTCCGTTTCTCTTCCTCTTCTTTCTCTTTCCCTCCCTCTCACCTCTTTCTTTTCTCTTATTACCCGATACGACGGCTAGTTCAGCCCCCCCCCCCCCCCCCCCCCGCCGCCTGTTACGTCACTGTTTCATGTCAATTAGAGACAACAGGATTATACAATTTCATACAGTATATCTTTTAAATTATACAATATGATTAAACCAGGTACTGTACTTGAAAACAATAAGGAAGCAAACCTTACACGTCAAAAGTGTCAAATGTTGTCTACACAAAAACTGCACTTTATTAAAATAATAAATCTACTAAAGGGGTGTCGTCAATGGAGATATGCACAAATATGAGTGCACTGTGCATGGGGTTGTCTGACAGCACATACCTGCTGACCTCGATAGAGAGTGATTGATTGCACAAAGGTTTCTATGCTGGTGCATCTGCGCTAAAACTGTCTTTGTAGCTATGCATTGCGCGATATGAATCAACCTTTCAATATGAAATCAACCTTTCTATGGAATTGTGTATCCATTCAATTATCTCAATTTTTTTTTGTGATATAAGGGGGGGGGGGAGCGCGTCGCAGGCGCCCCCTCTAAATCCACCCATGCTCATCATGAAGTATAAATCGCTTATAATACAGGGAGAAAAAAGACATGCATTTACAAAATGCGAGAAAAACCACCCCTGAACCACATGGTCATTCGTCAATATTGATCCAGATCCATATAGGCCTAGAATAGCTTTTGATTAAGTTTAAAAGTTAACACAACTACTGTATAGACGCTTGCTTTATGCGTTTCAATATTAAATTAAAATTATCGCCTAGTACGTTATAAATATTTATATTTATTTTTTTCATTATATGAGGTTGACCCTTACAACGTAGCTGCATTCAAGACCCCGGTCTTTTAAATAAACGAAATCGAAATAAAGTCTTACGAGGCTGGGGCGGTTGCAGGATTTGGCGGTAGGGGGTGCGTGAGGGTCAAAATAGAAAATTTTGAGAATAGGGACCTCTCAGTCGCGGATCCAAATTTTTAGATCGGTTTCCATAGAATCGCTCACCCTATCGGCGACAGTCGTGACAGTTGTGGTTCACAGACGAATCGGGGTGCCTTCTCGATTGCGCAGGGCAGCTCTATAGCAATGCACCCTGATACGTCTGCGTCTGCACGCAATCGGAAAAGTTGAACCAGGTTCAACCTTCCCGAAAACTGCCGGCAGCTGCCGCCGATGGGTGAGCGATTATATGGAAACCGAGCTTTACCCTGATTATCGCACATAATGGGGTCCCTGAGTGGGCGGGGTCATAGGAAGAGAGCGTAATGTTTGTTTGTTCCGTCGCGGGAAGACTATTTTAGACGTTGGGTGGGGTGTGGGGGAGGGGTTGGTTTGAGGTAGTCTTGGGGTTCTCCTAGAAAGTTTTTTTTTTCTAGATGCTGAGAAATTCACTTACGTGCATTACGAGTCTTCTATTGATAAATTAATACACACTGAATTAATAGTTTCCCCCATTTTACCATGGACAGTTAATAATTGCGATGATGATGATGATGATGATGATGATGATGATGATGATGATGATGTGATGATGATGGGAGACACCGTAGCAGGTAACGACAGGCTCCTGTGCAAGGTTAATTAACAGGCCCTTTGGTTGAGTGTCAACAGAAGACCGTATCCCGAGTTCGTCGTCACAGTTTCAATGCACACAATCGTACAACAGTAATTATCTACAATTTATATACTCAGGACATTGTCGACTGTCATGAAAATACCATCTAATAAATTACGTTATATGCATGCTCGGAAGCGGAAAGTTTAACCTAAAAGTTTGATAAGTCTCATTTTGTTTGTTGAATGATATTATATTCTAATATTACCACAACGTAAGGAAGAACATTTTGTCACCTAGTATACAAAGTTCAGACCCATATTATACATTTATATTTCCTTAGGCCTAAATCCTAAGGAAGTCCGATCTATATCCAAGTTTCTGAAATACGTGGGAATTTTGTTTTATGATGTTTGTTAAATGGTCTTCTTATAAAAATATTGCAGTCTAATATGAGGCATGTTGTGGCAAAATGGCTAAGTTGTAGCAAAAATTGAAATTCAAGTTATTGGTATTTTTAGATACCTGAGTATGTGGCCATTCATTCAAATTAGACATTTCAAGCCAAAGTTATTGGAAAGTGAAAGTACAGTACTCTTAGAGTATTATTATAAACAGGACTTTGAGTAATTGCCTTTCAAAGTTATTTGTGCATACATTGTTTAATAGAATGAACTATGAACAATAACGTTAAATAAACAATTTGTTAACCACTTCCAAAACCAATACATTGGGACATGATTAATAAGACATTAAACTGTTGATCTATAGTAAAAAACAAATTTGGATTTTTAGGCAATTTTTGAGCTCCCATAGTTTATAGCTCATTTACTCAATACTGGACTGTACGACAACTTAACCATTTCGCCACAACATGCCTCATATGACCACAACTTAAGGAAGTCCATTCTTTAAATGTTTAAAAGATAGTGCAGAGTTTAACTCCGTTAAAGACTTGTTTTTTTTTTTTGTCTGTTTTTTTTTTCTTTCATTTTTTTTTTGTTAGCATTCGTAAAAGAATGAAATAATAATTCATTAATCAAAAAGTAATAATTAAAATAATATGTTTTCGCTTTGTTGTAATTTTGGAATAACAAAATATAATACAATTATATATGCCTTTCAATAATTTTATAAGAATCAACACACATGTATAGCCTATCCTGCCTGTGATTGATTTTGTATACCATACATCGTGACATAAATCATAATAATAACTCAACAGTGTACCGTACGTTATCGCGCAGCCTCTTTGATCAATACTTAGACAATGACCAGATCTTCCCGACAGGGGGGGGGGGGGGGCTGGAATCTCTGACTGCTGGTTAGTAACCCCGACAGGCGGCATCTTACCTTGCATGGTTTTCTATCAAATTATCCTTTTAAAATAAAGAATACCATAATCAAGACAATTTTTCGCCAACCGAGGGGTTGGGGGGGGGGAGCTTGTCGGGGTGCTGGACCACTCTTTGGGGAATTCCTGACACCGCCCCTGCCAGCACCCTGGGATTAGAAAGCAAGCATCTTTAAAACACCAAGATCTCCACTACAATGTTCATCCACATCATACCCGTTATTCATTTTTAGCTCCCTTAGAAGAGCTCAGGAATCATACTCATCTGATTGATTCCTTTTTCGGCAAACCGATTAATAATCTTTTTTGTATGGGCGGCCGTTAGGGCCAATATACGCTATTGCTTCTAAAATTGATTATTTTTTGTATGGGCGGCCGTTAGTGCCTATATACTCTACTGCCTTTATTATACTGCCCTCATCGTAGCTTTCGAGATTACGAGAACTTGTTAAATTATGAAAGAATATTCACAACAACAAGAGATATTTGCTTATATATTTAAAATCAATGGATAACAACTCATACACATGATAATCACAAACAAACTTAACTTCTAAATTCTTTTAATATCGGTTACATTTTCATTAACCAATGGTGTACACTGTTTGTAACATTATATAGAAGCGTAGCACATAGATTGAAATGTACTTTCATAAAGCTCTGTCCACACTATCAAATTTTATGTGACAAATAAATGTGAAATGCCCATATTTGGGTGTAATATGACATCATCATACCCATATATGGGCACATCACACAAAATACTTACAAAAAAATGTAATAATAGTGCAGAGGTGACGCCAGGATTTGCCCGAGGGTTCTCGACGGAGTGGGCCGATGTCCCCGACGAGGTGGGCCAATGCCCCCGACGAGGGATCAGATTCTCACGACGAAAGCAATGTGGGCGTGGTCGAGCTTCGATTAAAATGTTCCGAATATGGTCCAGGAGGCGAAGCCCCCGAAAATTTTAACAATTTAGGTGTTTCAAAGGCTTATTTAATCGATTTTAGATTCTACTAATATGTAGAAAAAATACATATAATTTTGTAATAGTGTGAACAGAACATTGGAAACTCTTATGATAAGGAATGTGACATTTTATGTTTGATAAGTGACAAAAAGTGACATTCTATTCGATATCCTGTGGCAAGGGTTGATAGTGATTGGTTGTCTGAACAGGCTGGCTTCGTTTAACTACGTAAATAGCAATCCCAACGATGAGAAGAAAATTCATAACAAAGAAAACTGAAGTAATAAGTAGCGTATTCGAACGGTCTTCGGTAATAGTAGATGATTTGGCTTGCGAGGCTGGAAGAACAATATCAATAATTTCATTTAAGAGAATTTGTCTTAGAAAATCTGTTCAGAAAAGGAAGGAATTGGCGGATGAGTTTAGCTGTGAATTTATTTATAAAACGATTTGCCATTTGTTTGTTTGTTTGTTTTTTCTTTTTTTAAATGAAAAAAAATAATAAAACGAACCAGTGTGAAAACCATTCCACTAAAACCAAACAAATAATAAAGTTTCAAACATATTGTTCCATTGTAGTAGTACTGTATTTGTGACAATATATTGGTAGATCTCTGTCGGTGGTGTGGAACAAAGGCTTTCATAAGGAGAGGATGCATTTGGGGAATGTGGCCCCCACCCCCCACATCGTTTCGCCACTATTTTTTTAAATTTCAATATATTCAAATTAGCGCTTATTAGCAGTACTCACTTATCTATTCTGAGTATATTATGCCCCTCGCCCCCCCCCCCCAGCTTGTTTGGAAAACTCTAGATCCGCCCCTGTTCATAGCCAAACTGTGTTTGCTCCTGGTTAAAGGTGCGTTTATGGCACTGGATTCGCCAGTTGGTGATTGAAACTGGCAAATATCGTGTGTATCGCGTGTATACTTGATTATGTTTTTATTCTCAGAATACCTACCTTCATTGCTTTCCGAATTTACATGTCGCAGAAACAATGGCCCTTTCGATAGTTTTTCTCTCTTGAATAGCGTCATTGGTGAACGTCTATTACGTTGTCCACACGTTCTGGTACACGTTGGGTCAGTAGCATTACAAAGAGTCATCTCACAATGTACGTAAACCTAGTAAATTAAGATTCAGTGAATGACTGAATATACTGAATTACAAGTGTTCTTTACAATGGATACGGTATTTCCTACAAGTGCAATTCAAATTCTAGTCGATGTGTGCCGCTGATGAAAAGGCGTAGTAAATTGTTGTAAATAAAGCCCGTTGTAAAATATAATTAACCTATGAAGCGCTGAAAATGACTGAAGTGCCCATCTCTCTTTCTTATGGCGTTGTCAGTGCGCACGGCTGTTGGGGTTTGCCACTTCTTCAGGCGAGTACACAGCGAAAGTTTCGAACCCCAGACTTGATGGTTGAGAGTCCGAGTATAGCAAATTATTTTACCAAATAATTAATGTGTATGTATGAGTGCAATGGAATTGTAAATTTTTCAACGGATGTAAACATTCTTCCCATTGCACGAATAAAAAACATTAATTTTTTTTCGTTTTATAACACACATAAAATACACCTAAAACACCAAAAATAGATCTTTGTCATTTGATATTTTAGAAAAAATAGAGTTAAGTCTACATTTCGTCGGAATGGAACAGTCGGCCTTCTTTTAACCAATCCAAATATTGTATTAGGTAGGGGCATGCAATGGGAAAAAACGAATGGAACAAAAATGCACGGATGGAACCATAGGGCAAAGAAACAGTTTCTTTGCTTTATGATGGAACTAAATTTTCATGAGTGACGAAATAGTGTAAATAACCAATGTCACGTGATATGAAACCCACCAATCAAATGATAAGGTTCTATTTCGTTGTGTTATATGAAAATTAAAATTAGTATAGTAAATTAAATGTTTACCAGATATTGGCCTTGCACAAATCTGAATGCATCAAGCTGAAAGTACACATTTTGATTATCACCATGTGATTCTGCAAACGATGTAGTGTCATCTGAAGGGCAGCTAGACATAAAATATATATCGATTATTATAATATATATGACAAAACTGTTGTATGAACATTATTATAGTCATGATGTGCCTATTATAGTCATGATGTGATGTCATCGTCAATAAAGGCGATATATAAATAATCAAATAGATAAAAAAAAAAAATATGCACGTCTCCCTCCAATTAAAGACCACCTTTGGTCTTTAGCAGCTTTGGTCCTTAATTAGAATAATAAGATAAAACAATTTTGTCAATATGAGATCTCAGAAAAGTGGTCTTTAATTGGAGGTAGTCTTTAATTGGACGGGTTTTTACTTAGAGGGAGACCAGTATAATAACTTAGGCCCCTATATTGTTACCCAGACGTAGTATGTAGATTTCACGATGATTATGAACTAACCTATCTTGGATAAGATCATATCTTGGCGATGTAGATGCATCTGAACTTGTCGTAGCAACACAAGAATCAATATATAACTTGACGTCTTCAGTGTAAGAAGTTACATGGGCTCCCAAGTAGATCGTCTGCCCAATATCTACAACGACTGGATAATCATTGTTACCGTACGGAAGAGTGAAGTTCCCTTCTTGATACATGTCTAAAGCAAAAGAGAAGTTTCCATCGCTTTCAACCGCATCTCCAATTAGTGAGACCTCTTGCGGGTCGAAGTTTATTGAAGATTTTCCCGAGTTCTTTAGGTTGCACTTAACTGGAATTACAAGTTCGTGTTCTCTAGAAATGATATCACTTTCGTCTTTTCGTTTTAGAATCACAGAATTTGAGTACTCGACATAATTATCTGAAAACTTAAAAAAGAAAAAAAAAAACAAAAAAAAACCAACATTAATATAGTGTTTTAACTGGATTTAAATATCAGAAGCACCATGAAAAGCTCAGCCGACACAAAACGCGGAAAAAACCGTTCAACATGTATGTTTTTTATGACATTTATGTGAAAAATTAATAACGTATATTTTGGGTTAATTTAAACCAACTGGAGTTTTGGCAGCACCGCCGCTCCCCACTAACTAAAAATTCTGGAGCAGCCCCTGTTTACATGGATGTAGGCCTTCACGTTCATAAATTGTAGAAACGCTAAAAAAAAAATAATTACAGTATGCAAAAATTCCATATGTGGCGTACGGGACATTCATAAACTGTTTTCAACCTGCAACCTGATTAATAATTAATACCGGTAGTCAAAAGAAAAATATTTTATCACAATATGTATGTTGTACAATAAGTAACAACACATGGCTGCTATTTTAGCTGAAATCAGGGTTTTGGAGGAAAAATATATTAAACCATTTAAAAAAACGCAATTTACTCCACAATAAATAAAGTCAGATGATCAGTACTGTATGTTGGCTTATGTAATATCCCATCATGTTGACCGGTAACATTTGCAACTGTGTATAATCAATCTATTAGCAAATAAATAGGAAAATGAATAATATTTTGAAAATATAGTAAAAAACCAAGAAGTCATCATTTTTGTATGAAATGCTAAAAATATAACATTTCCAATAATTCATGAAAAACTTGATTGTTTTGAATACTAGTGTTATTTGGTTATGCATTTCACCTAAAAGCAGATGTTTTTGATCATTATTTGATTTGGCCACTTTTTGACTTTCTAATATGGAATATCTACATTCATTTATACATACCAGAACCTGTGTTCCACATCTGTCATATCTTGTCATAAACAAGAGCCAAGAAACCCCGTCTTTATTTACTTGTCCAATTGAAGTACAACTGATATCAAGTAAATGAGGAGGGAAGTTGCTTTGATCGATGAGGGAGCTATCACCAACTAATATAGTCATGTATGCATCATCACACTGTACATCTAGAATTTATAAAAATACTGTATTAAAAACGGTATCAATTAATCAATCGATCGATCGACCGACCGACCGACCAACCAATCAATCAATCAATTAATCAATCAATCATTCAATCAATCAGTTGGTCGGTCGGTCGGTCGGTCAGTCAGTCAGTCAGTCAGTCATCAATCAGTCAATCAATCAATCAATCAATCAATCAATCAATCAATCAATCAATCAATCAATCAATCAATCAATCAATTACTGGCATTAACACTGTAAAACAGCATGATGCGTACAGAAAGCTCACAATTTTGTTCTGATTTTGGGGAGACGTTTAAAATCTAAACACGTTTAGGCATAGCATATGCTTGGGATCTTGACGTGTTTAGGATTAAATGTGTTTAGGTATTTGACATCATGATATTAAATACCCAAGCACATGTATTGCTAAACACGTCAAAACCATAATATGTGCCTTATGCTTCGTTTAGCTTTTTAACGTGTCAACAAAACGGGACACAATTGCGTGGAGGCTGTTTTTGCAATTTATAAAGGGCCAAGCCTCAATATAACATTCCATGTACACTGTCGTTCAGTATATAGGCCACAAAACAAAGGCATATGGCCGGGTAGCAAATGACCGGGTGTCAAATGGCAGGGTGGAACTGAAGGCCGAGTGGCAACGGGCAAGGTGGCAACAACGGGACAAAATCCAACAAAAATTGTTATGAATCAGTTGAAACACTCTATGGATAATATTTTCAACCATTCAAGCGTAAACGTAATTGAAGATGAATTGTAAATATGAATATTTTAAACTTAGTAGATTACCTGCTAGAATATCTTCATCTTGATGTGGAGTGGTCAAATCTTCATACTGACGTGTGGTCAAATCTCCATCTTGTTGTGCAGTGGTCCAATCGTCATACTTAAGTGTGGTAGAATCTACATCTTTGGTGGTCGAATCTACATCTTCAGTGGTCCAAACTTTATAGTGACGTGTGGTCAAATCTCCATCTTCAGTGGTCCAATCTTCATAGTGACGTGTGGTCAAATCTCCATCTTGATGTGGTGATTATATAAAGTTAATACGTACATTATAGATAATATTGGTAAAAAAGTTATATGATGATGATAATTATTATTATGATAATAATTAATTGTTGTCTATTCTTTTTTTCTTAATGCAATACAAAGTATATAAACATAAAAACCTACCGGTGGTATCTGTCCGATCACGAGTCCATGGTGCAACTTCAGCTAACAACGAAAAGTTATACTTGTTACAATTAAATAATAAAAATATTTTTATTTCATTTTATTTTATTCCTTTTGGCAAGAAAATACAAAAATATATTACAAAAGAACAAAACAAAATACAAGAAATACAAAAAGTAATAACATGGCAAAAAAATAAAAAACAAAAAATCTCAAATGAGTGTCAAGGAATAGCAAAAGGGGCAGGGACATTGTCACCTAAAAAGGATGTGATATTCTGTACAAAAAATATATGGATAACTAAAAAAAAATTGATTATAAAAAAAAATAATTACATCAAAAGAAAGCAACGATTACGTACAAACATTATTCAATAGAATTAAAATAACAATGTCATATAATAAAGTAGGCCTATTATTAATTTAAAAAAAAATCAACAATATCAGATAATAAAGTAGGCCTATTATTAATTTTAAAAAATCACACTAAGGGATTTTAAATTTTTAACATAATTTCTAATTTTGCTGATTTATTTTTTACATATATTTATTAATAAATTGTTTATTTATTTTTAACATTCTAATAACAAGTACCGAAGCATTTTAATTTCGACCGGAGTGGCGTATATTNGGATTTAGGGGGGGGGGGGGGGGGGGGGGTGGAGTCTTCTTCCCATTGAAAATATTTCAAACAGTTAAAAAATCACCTCAAATTTCCCTATTTGGCAAGCTACCTCCCTGCACTTAATTATCGCGTCCCCATTTCACTTTCTTCGCACAGCTATCAACCCCCGGCCCCTCCGACTTTCAGGATTTCTAAAAAGACGCCACTGTGTGACCGTTGATCTTACTTACTTGTTAAACGATTATAACACACAACACTAACATCCTCGGAGTGATCACAATTATGAACACCCCAACCGCTATGTCTACATTCTGATATAGCTTCTTCAACTCCAGTGCATCTTACGTCATCCAGCATTATTGGTCCGGATCCTTGGCCAAAGTGGGCGTTACCATAAGACGCTGAGCTTCCTGCAAAGCCGAGTTGTCTGCACGCAACATCCGAGTTAATAGCGGTCCAAGCATCATCACAAACTGTTCCCCAAGTATTTGAGTACATCACTTCTAGTCTTCCTTCTCGATTGGTTGTTCCATTAACTAACCGAATCGTCTCTAAAATGTATTAAAGGTGAGTTAAAATAATTGAAATTAAAGAATTTATGACGTCAGAGGTTGGTGTAGGTAAATAAAATAAATAATCCGTATATTTGTATTATAGTTGTATGTTTCGTGTCAAAAAATGTTAACACTAATATTTATGTATTGAAATATTTGATTTAAAAAAAGATGAAAAAGTTGTTGACGTAATCTTTTATAAAAAAATAAAATAAAACAGATAAACAAATAATGCACTGTAGTTATCGACATTTGTTTTCCAAACTACTGTACATTACAATATTATTTAATTAAAAAGATAAGCTAAGATAAGATAAATTGTAGTATATTAGGTTAGATGTTGTAAAAAACAAAATATAAAAAGATACAGTTTTTATTTTAAGAATACGAACTGGTTTCATTGCACCTAACGCCAGCATCCTGGGAGTGAGTGCAATTGTGGACTCCCCAGCCATCGTTTGGGCATTGTGTTAACGAAGACTCAGTTCCGCGGCACTCGACATTCTCAAGAATAATTGGACCAGTTCCTTCGCCGAACACGTCACTGCTACTGAAGGCTTCAGACGCTCCAGTATAGCCCAACTCGCTGCAAACAACATTCGCATCCTGTATATCCCATCCATTACCACAGACTGTCGCCCATCTACCATTAAACCAAATCTCAAGACGTCCTTCATATACACTGCTGCCATCAGCTAACTGCATTGGCAAAGCTGACTCTATTTAATAAAAAAACAAAACAATGAGTATTAAAGTATTTCTATATGATTGTAGGCATACAGTATTGTGCTCGTATAGCATTATATATATTTTTTCTGCTCCCATTATTATAGCAAAAATAATTAATGATGATACCCCTATGTTCTCTGTTAGATTGTGACAACAATCAGTGGCGTTCCTATATGGTGCATGGGGAAGCACTAAAAAAGTTTGTCCCCAACCCATTCACCCCTTCCCCCTTCCCCTTCACTGGGAATGTTCTAAGCAAAGAAAAATACGCTAAAAATTATCGTATTTTGCGCTCTAGTTCCCCTTCACGTCCATTTACCTCTATCAGCCCCCATTCAAAGGTGCCTAAATACGCAATGAAACCAAACTATATTTAATTCCATTGTGTCTTTAATTTCGTTAAAGTAATTGTAGCAAACGTTTTTTTCGTGTTTGAATTTAAATTCATTAAAATATCATTTACTATAATTGCAGAATTCAAAAATATATGAATGTAGAGTTAAAAACCTATTTAGACGTGGAAAAATTACTCACCAGCTACTTCCAAAAAGCATACAGCTAAAACAAGTACAACTGTTATTTTCATTATTTCGGTTACGATGAATTCTATAAGAGATGATGTAAAAATTGCACAAATCGCAGAGCTGTACCACTTGTTAGGGGTCTTATATATACGCATCTATTATCGGAATTACTTGTTCCATACGTTAGATTATTGATAAGAGAGGTAAACGTCCATCTAATTATTTGATTTGTCAATTAAGCTTCGGTCGGTTAGTGTTCTTACATTTTCAACGAGAGAGAGGCGAATGAGAGATAAAAACAGGGTATTTATTTTTGCAAATATTAAAGATAGATTTAAAGGTATTGGGCTAAAATGATGAGGAGGAGGATGATGATGATGATGATGATGATGTTGTAATGATGATGATGATGATGGTTGTAATGATGATGATGACAATGGTGATGATGATGACGATAATGATGAAGACGATGATATTGACGATGATTATGGTAATGTGTACGTGTTGATATACTGGGCAATTGTAACTCCTTCATGTACAGTAACTCGAATTACCAGTGGCGGGTTCAAGTGGGGTGGGGGCACAGCCGGCCATGCCCCCTCTAAATTTCTCAAAATTGTATATAAAAATAACTTAATAGAGAAATATAGAAAATTATATTCAAATATAAGTCTGAGGGTGCCGTTTCCGACCATCTAGATGTGCCATAACCGAGATCGTATACACCGCAGGCCCCACTCTATTTCAAATTCCTGGATCCGCCACTGGTTACTGTAACACGCCATTAACATGTCATTGGCCTACGTAATTGTTATTATCATCTATCTTAAATAGATTACTAATTAACATGTGGAAGGCATAGTCATATATTGAACCTCAACATGTGTTTATTGATATGAATAATTGGAAGATATTTAATAATAAGTAGGCCTAATAATAAATTATGTTATAATTACCACCATCACAGCCACCACCACCATATAACACAACCATCGTCATCGTCATCATCATTCATTATCACCACCACCATGTATACGAAGAATTATCGTTAGCATTAGCGGTCATCATCATCGTCTTCACCATCGCCAACAGCAATGTCCGAATGGGAGAGGGGAAGGGCGGAAGGGGCAGAAAGTGGGGCAGATAGAGGCAACACTATCCTAGGGTGTCCGTGGGCCCCCGTGAAAACCTCTGAGGCTTATTGCGCGATCACTTATTTCTTTTTTTTTTTTTTTTTTTTTTTTTAACTTTCGAAAAGCTTACCAGCCACCCCACCCCCAATCCGCCCCTGTCATCGTCATTAAATTCACCATTGGGTGATCCTATACTGTACATTGTTGAGATCAGTAATAACGTTGTGCCGTACGGTTTCCACAGAACATCGAAACTTCAATTCAGCTTTTAGTTTGGTTGCATTCTCCGATCTCACCATAATTATTACATAACGCATACAGTAATTAAATAATAAAAAAAAAAAATCGTTTACTAATAAATAAGCAGGGGTGTCCCATTTTGATAAGGCTTTCCCCTTAATCGGCGAGTGCCAAAAAAGTATGCCTACTTTAAATACTAAATTACCAGCTTTATCATTGACCTGCTCTAATTACAGTTTCTGGTAATTAACTAATACATTAATAAAGATCTTAGCATGCAAATAATATACAAGCTACCAAAATATTACGGATTTATTTTAATGGTAGATGTGTTTTGTCGAAACAGTAAATATAAATTTTAAAAGTAATTGAAAAATACATTAATTTTCTGAGTTTTGACGCAATTTAATTATTGTTGAATGTTTCGATATAACGTCTATTGAGTTATATAAATGATTCACAGACATAGCACGACTCATTTACGTTTCAATGGAATTGAGTAATTTATAACCTTAAATCGTAAATAATCGAGTAACAGTGACTACCTATGGGAATAAATTATGGTTCGGCTATCTGAATAGATACTATACCATACTGATAATATTAGCAGTATCATGGATATTATCAGTTTAATTAACTCAACGGCGATATGGATACGTAAATTGACATGTGGGAATGTACCATTTGGGCTTTATCTAGCTGTTCAGAAAAAAAAAATGCAGTTTATTAATAGCAAGATATCATATGTTACAAGTGATGTGTTGCATGTTTATGTAAGTTCAATCCTTTCTCTAGCGCCACATGATCCTTGAGTACGATAATGTGAGCAGCCAAAAAACAACTAGGTAAAACATAGGCCAATTTTAGAAAAAACGCAAAGGTCATGGTTTTTGCCAAAATCCACGATTTATCGACCCTCCCATTTTGCGGGAGGAAATAATAAATATTTTAATGATTATTCTTTGGTACCACAGCTTAAGAGTCAGCTGAAAAATGACTATATAAAACCATGAACTAGATAAAAAAAATAAGCCAATTTTAGAAAGACGCAAAAGGATTATGTAGCACATAGTTTTGTAGTTATTGGACAATTTTTCGATCTTTCTCTTCTTCCGATTATTATGTGTTATGTCTCGCCTATTGTTCACATAATCGGTAGTTTCATAAATAATCATGGGTACCATAACGTAAGAATCAGGCGGAAATAGACTAGGTAAAATACAGGCCAATTTTAGAAAAAAAAAAACAAAACCCGCAAATTTATTTGTCGAAATTGGACCTCTCATTATAGTCGATTTTCATTTCTCATAATTATACAATATGAAATAAAATGCTCCTGTTGAACCTCGCTTTATATTTTCATATATTTGGTTGCTTACTTTATCAATTTATTAGTTGGGTTTGGTAATTGGTCGGTTTATTGGTTAGTTCATTGATTGATTCAATGATTCATTGATTGGCAAAATGATTGGCTGATTAACTGTTTGATGAACTAATTGATTGATTGATTGGCTAGTTGATTGGTTTGGTAATAGTTTGGTTGATTGCATGATTATTTTGCTTTGCATAATTTGCCAAAAAATATAATCCCAACAATAAACTGTATACAACAATAATGTTCGTTATTTCATAACAATTTTTATTACAAAATATGTACAATAGGTTAATCTATATACAGTCAAAGAAAATTATAAATTATAAAAAGATTATAATTAAAGATATATCAATTATCTGGTGAGTATCATCATAAGAACCTCTTGTGACGTTGCTGTGATACCATTTCATGTCATTTGTCTTGATCCTCTGTTAATAAATTATATTGACCCTTGAGTAAGAGACAAGGGTGATGCCAGTGGGACTTACACAATTTGTCGGGTAGAAAAAAAATATATATATATATATATATTTATTTTTTGTTTTACATATTAGTGGACTCTAAAAAGATCAAATAAGCCTTTGAAACCCCTATTTTTATTTTTAAAGTATTCAAGCGGCTTCGTCCCCTGGACTATTTGTGCGACATTTTGAGCATCGCCCAACCACGACAACTTATGTTATTGTCAGAGATATCCCTACTGTTGGGGGCATCAGACCCTCTGTCGGGCAAATCCTTGCACCAAGTTGGTGAGTGATTTTTTTTATTAGCTTTATTAATGAATTCATTTAAGACTGTTTTGCCGTTTAACATACAGTATAGAAGTGCCTATAGGTACCACCAAAGCGCTCTTCTTTTAATTTGTCAAACCATTAATGAATACTGCAAATTTGTTGCTTGTAATGAATTAATATACAAACTTGTCAAAATTGTCCTGCCATCCCGAGTTTGACCTGAAAAAAAAAACAAGACAAGACAAAAGTCAATTTCATACAAATGTACATCCATTGCGGATTGGCCTATATTTTAATTGGTTGCCCATGATAATTGGGACTCTCTAGCTGTAATTTTATTTAAATGTAATTACGTATAAATAAAATTGCAGCTAGAGAGTTTAACTTAAATTTTATTTATATGTAATTTGGATTAACTTATATAGATACAGAAAATGAAATCTAATCGATTAGAAAGCCAAATTGACAGATGCAATTCATAAAATATAATGGAGGAATATTATTGTGGTGGACATACAGTATAGCAAGGTTAACATGCAATAGACGGACAAAAACGGAATGGAGACCATGGCTAGGGAAGAGGCAAAATGGTAGATATAAGGAACGAAGGAGAGATGAATTAATAACTTTACAGAGATTAGTGAATGAAAAAAAGCTAACAGACAGAACAGTTTGTTGCCAGCTTGGCTGATGATGATAATAATGACAATGGGGATGATGATGATCATGATAATGATGTTGTTGATGATGACGATAGTGATGATGATAATGAAGTTGATGACGATTATGACGATGGTGATGATGACAATGATGATGATGAATAACTTTATGCTTACCTTTGGGTGGAACCCAGTCACTAATATCTTCATCTGTAGCTTCTTCTGTCACCTTAGTCTTTTTGTGTACAACATTCGTTTTCTTTCTTCATCCTCATCTTCCTCCTCTTCTCCTACCTCATCATTATATCCTGAAGGCAATGATGGTCCCTTAGGTAACGATGCTGCAGAAACTCTGGGACGAAAAACTGGTCATTTAATTGGCGGTAGAGAGGGTTATTTAGTGGATAACTTTGACCGTTCAGTGCCACTTGAAGGGCCCTTTGTTTAATGTGCTGGCAAGAATGACACATCTACATTATATTGTGTGGAATAGTTTAAGCTTTCTGATGTCTGTAAACAGAGAGAAGTAATAGTTTAAATGTAATTGCCCTCATTCCCATAGAAATTTGGAAGTGGTCCTACTTATAGTCCTCATCTTGACTCATTCTCATATTTCATCAACATTTCTCATTCTCATCTTTATATTATTCCTCATTATTCCCCCAATCCCTATTACACATCTTCATTCTTATTCTCATACATTACTCTTTCCTTTCAATTTACATGCAGGCCTGTATCATCACTGTCTCTTATACACATCTAGATGTGTATAAGAGACAGGTTCAATACACACCTCCCACATTTGAAAAAGGTTTACATTTTTAAAACAGTTGAGGTTGTACTAAATATAAGATATGTTATCTAGTATTGACAGCACCACTGTATATACTTTCCATGGACTAGGAGGTTGACAATGATTAAAGGCTTTGGATCCCCTACGATACCTAAGCATCTATCCTACCTCAATGCCGCAGGGAATTCTAAGTAACACATATACCCAAATCCATATATGGCCCTATACTTCATGGCCATGTCATGTGTATAGACTACCAGAATACAATCTTTGAACTTTATCAAAATAAAAACATTGTAATTAAAACACATCATATTGTTTGGAATTAGGCGAGACTTTTTTTTTTAAATTATACCCTTTTTAAAGATGGTCAGAGGAGGGCGGAAAAAAATAAAAATAAAAGCTTTTTATTTAGCAAATAGTTTTTCCAAAAACATCCAAACGGAGGAGAAAGTAAACAGTGTAGTAATGGGATGGGATGCTTTAAATTTATATAATTATGAAGAAATATTATCTTATTGTGAGATTTCAAGGTAGCTGTGGGCGTAATAAAATGAAAGAAAACATATGGAACATTCGTTTCTATTTTTGATGCTGTTTTCACTATCTCTTTATTCTCTTAATTTTGGGTTCGATGAGCAGCGATGGATCAAGAAATTTCGAAATAGATGGGCCGGAAGGTCAATTTAACAGATGCAGGGTCCAGACCACCTCAGCTCCGCCCACCATGGCTGGGGCTGAGGTATGAAATGTTATATCTATGTCTGAAATGGCTGAAAATGGCACCTCAAACTAAAAATATGAATGCAATTTTCTTTTTCCCCAATTTCTTTTAAAATTTAAAACTTTAAAGGCTGTCTCTTATACACATCTAGATGTGTATAAGAGACAGCATGGGAACCGGCAGGTCCACCTTTAATCTGTCTATGAATAGTGAACTTAATCACTAACCTATTCATAAGTCAAAATCTCTTTCACAAGTTAGTTATTATGTCTTCACCTCGAATTGCTTATATAAAAAATACAGAGTTCGTAATTGGGAGGTTTGTAGTTGCGAGACATCATTGTACAAATATAGAATCATTTTCTGTATTTTAAAGTAGCAGCGATTGTTTTACCTTATGAATTCAGAAATTTTGGCAGGTTTTGAGACGTTCATTAGCTTCTTTGATTTCATTTCTTCCTTTCGGAGATCCATAAGTCTTAGTTTTAGCTTGGCACGTTAGATTTTTAAAGCCTCATTTTATGGAGTCCATGAAAGAATCTAATGAATTCTCAGCTATATGCTTCATTTTACCTTCAAATACATAAACAAACGCAAATGTAGGCAAATAAAAGCTTATCACCCCTACAAGCCGACCTGCAAGGTTATGTAAATACTTATCGTTAATGACTAATATATAAGGGGATGGAAACTTACTAATACATTTGGAAAATAATAATGATTTAAAAGAAAAAAACTAATATATATTAAAGATGTCATTCACAGATAAAGTAAATAAATACGACTTGAATCAGAAGCGTGGAAATTTACTCGTGAATGTCAGGAGAAACCAGTATCACCGCTTTGTTTACCAGCACTTTGAAGCACTTGATGAGAGCTCGCTGGTTTACAACTCAAAAGCCCTAATGGTGCTGGTGTCTGACTGTCCTAACCAATTAATCAACTGACAAATAAGCTAGCTAATGAAACAGGTTAAGAATTAAGATACTTTCTTAATAAAAAATCTAATTGGTTGGTTGCCTCACAAAGACCACATCTGAATAAACGAGATTTTTGAGGTAATATTATCAATTGATACCTACCAATATGTAGAAAATACAATTTTTTTTTCTCCCCGACGAATTGTGGTTTTTCTATCAATTAGATCTAAAAAGGTGGTATTTAATAAAGGTTCAACAGAGGATAATCTTGATGAAACCAATATAAACGATACATATCAATATCGAGAAATGGACGGAGAATGGTTCTGGGTGGGCTATTGAATACCCATGTTCTCTTGATATAGAAATGGTTAAATATGTGCCAATTAGAGGAGGAGCCTATGTAGATTTAACTGCTGAGCTTAAGAATTAAAAACAACTAAAGCTATAATTAACGTAAAAATTAAAGATGATATGTGTATTAATGAGCGTTAGCAAGCGCACCTCACCCAACATCATCACATCATTCATATATTCTGTCACGTATGAGCGACAGTGGTTCAAAAAGGAAAGATAACGTTCAGAGATGCTAGACAATAAAAACATGGACATCAAAGTAGTCAATGTAATAGTTTAATGGTTATAATCATCGGTTGATTAAGCCGAACAACGTGCCACATATGACAAATCTACCACGGATATTCTTATGAATACTCCGGTTACTTAACTTGTACTATACATTGACTGTGCAAAACAAATACTGAACCGAACAAACTATTTTAATGTCTCACAAGAAAAATTATGTTTACCAAGACGAGTCATACCTCACTATAACCGAGTGGCCAGTTAATACCATACATAGGCAATATATAAATACACATCAACAATTATTCCAATTAGCAATAGAATACCTTACATGGGCTATGTCAATATATGAATATACATTAATAATTATTCCGATTAGCAATAGAATAATACCTTACATGGGCTATATCATATGAATATACATTAATAATTATTCTAATTATCAATAGAATAATACCATACATGGGCTATATCAATATATGAATACACATTAATAATTATTCTGATTAGCAATAGACCAATACCATACATGGTCTATATCAATATATGAATATACATTAATAATTATTCCAATTAGCAATATGGGTTATATCAATATAGGCCTATATGTTAATAATTATACGAGAAAAGATACGATGTCCAAGTTCGCTGTTGAGCATTTATAATCGGTAGACGGACTTCTGTTCTCAACCACGGTGTATTTCTAAGGCGTCCCTTGATTATGCACACGTCACGCTCAAATCATAGCTACCTGGATTACCTAGCAACACCGTTACGAATCACACGTCCTACCGTCACATACTCACAAATTATACTCTTTTTTAAATGAGTTAAATTTTGAAGGTATTGACTTCCCGACTGAGATCAAACAAATTCATAAGATTGAAAAACAAAATCCCGGACATATTTATGTGTTTGGCTGGGAGAATTCGTTATATGTATTATAATATTAGTAAAAAATGGAATGGTCAAGCTATCCAGGAGGTTATTAACCTATTACTATATGAAAAAAATTACATGTGGATTAAAACCACATCACGATTAAAAAGCATATTTGCTTAAGGTGTTTACACATCTTTAGTAGAGAAGACTTGCCGGATTGTAAACGTATTAACTGTGGAACATTAACTCCTATTATGCCTAAAGAGAATATGAACAAATTGAAAATCATCAAAATATTATGCAGATCCCTTTTGTTATCTATGCAAATTTTGAGTCGATACAAAAATCGATAGCTCTAATTCTTGTTTAGTGTCAGATCGCTCAAATAACACTCAAATGAGAGTTAGGGTTAAAGGCCATTTGTGTATCCTTTTTGTATCTGTCAGATTTATATAGTTTAGTTAAGTAGTGCTGTACTGTGGCAGTGGTGGTGTCATTACTTCGAAAAGGACTCCAAATTCTTAACAGGGTTTGCCTAAAAAGTATAGGAGACGGCTGCTTAGTTGCGAGTTCACAACTACCTCGGTTTCAAGATGAAGATGTATGTCATTGTATTTTAATAATGTTTTATTGGATTCCTTAAACTAAAGATAGGCATTAACACAAAGATCATGATAATGTGGGCACTTAATGCCTTTAAACTGCCAAAATTGTTTTTTGGTGGCCATTTTGATTTTTTCCATTTTCGCCGAACGGTTGGAGTGACGTCGTGGTTCCCTTGAGCAAAATAAGAAGTTTTGGAAAGTGACGTAACAATATTTTTAGTAATAATATGTGAGCATGTCTTGTAAAAGTAAAAGTGAGTTGTATATTCATGCATAATTGCACCAGAGGGGGCAACAGTTAACCTGAGATGGAACGTTCGGTTTGAATATCGATGGAAGGAGGGAGTTGCACAATAAATGATAAGTTGATTTTCATTTTTATAAACAAAAACAAGATAGCACAATTATTCAGTGATGTAATCGGAATAGGTCCCCAGAATCAACGTTTTTAAAGCTCTGAATGCCAAAGGATGTATAACAACTTATAACAGGAAAACGGATGTTAAACGTACGTTTGTATTTTTTCCAATGATCGGCAACATATACTATAAATATTTATATATTTCATTTTTAAACTATATTTAGAGGGTGACTCTTTCAACTTACATGATACTGAGGGCCCTTTTAAAACAACGATATCGAAATGATAAGACTTCATAAACCAAGTCTCATTAATCATAAACATATTTATTTATGAAGCTTAGGAAATCATGTGCCGTCACAGGATTTGAACGCAGGAAACGGGGATTGGAAGGCAAGCATCTTAAATACTAAGCTACCTCTCCACTACATAATGTTCATCAACATCATACTCATCTTTTAAGTTCGCTCTTATTGTTCATCTTTAAAGTATAAAAGAATGCGTGCAATAACTATTTGCTTAAATTATTTATTTAAAACGAATTGATATCAATTCATACACAAGTATAATTTAAGAAACCAACATAAATTCAGATGTCCATTTACCAGGCTTACATCAAGACAACAATTCATTAAAGTATATGGTCCAAAGTTATGGAATTTTATTTCTGAATTCCAAGGTGTAACATCTGCTGCAAACACATTAAAACACTTCAAATCAAAACCTAAACTGACCTTTATTGAAACCTAATACGGTAATCCACGTAAACTAAAACTAATGGAAGCGCCAAAACACAATAATGATGATGATAAGTAATATTAATTGTTATTTTTTATAATAAAATTAATTAGAGTAAGGGAATTGAATTACATTTGTAGATAATCAGAGAAGAAACATTATGTTTATGTTATTTATACAAATGAGTGTATATTGTCCATGTTTAATGCAGCTTTTGCTCTCTTTAAAGAGGGGCGAGAGTGACGGGCTCATAAGTGATTCTTTATCGTCCCTTGACCATGTTTTATGCAACTGTAGGCCTAACTTTGATTTGTTTTTCCATGCATGTTTATAAATGGTCGAATAAATGTTGAATAAATGAAAATGAAATAAATAAAGAAAATTAACATTTAAATTTTTTAATATTGGTTATTTTCATTTAGAATACTAATGTATTTTCAAATGTACTTTGAAAAACCTCTGCCCACACTATAAAATATTTATGTGACAAATAAATATGGGTGTGATATGACATCAATATGACATCATTATGCCCATATATGGGCACATCACACAAAAAATTATTAGTGTGCACAGAGCATTGGAAACTAAAAATGATATGTGTGACATTTTATTCGATATCCTGTAGCAAGGGTTGATAGTGATTGTTTGTCTGAACAGGCTGGCTTTGTTTAACTACGTAAACAGCAATCCCAGCGATGAGAATAAAGTTCATAGCAAAGAACATTGCAGTGATAAGTAGCGTACTCGAATGGTCTTCGGTAATAGTAGATGATTTGGCTTGTGAGGCTGGAAAAACAACATTCATATTTCATTAATACAAGAATTAAAATTTTTGAGTTTAGTTGTAAATTATTTTCATTTTCGGTGTGAATAATAATAGTAGTAATAATAGTAATTTTAATAGATAATAAGAATAATATTAATGAAATTACTGTAATTATTACTAATGATAATGATAATAAAGATAAAGATGATGATGATGATGATGAGGGTCGTTTAATAAAAAAAAAAAGAACCACAGTACGGTATGTTAAATCTCTCCACTAAAATCATATAAGTTTCCAAAATATTATTGTTTCATTGTAGCAGACTGATGGCAAATATAAGTATCGTGTACAAAATATTTCTTGTTTTAATTCTCAGAATACCTACCTTCATTAATTTCTGAATCTACTTGTCGCAGAAACAATGGTCCTTTTGATAGTTTTTCTTTCCCAAATAGCTTCATTGGAGAGCGTCTGTTACGTTGTCCACAAGTTCTGGTACACGTTGGATCAGTTGCATTACAGAGAGTCATCTCACAATGTACGTAAACCTTAAACACAATAATCAGAGATTAAAAACCATCACCTGTATATCTATACCAAAAAATGCCATTTAATTGCACGCCGGCCGGAGTGCTTCCAGTCCGCCGGCCACAATTTCACTCACCCCGACTCCGCTTGGCCTAGCCAAGCCAAAGGATCCGTTTGAGTTGGCTCTGTAGGCAGTAGCGGCCGGAAAATATATAGGCCTAGGCCTAAATAACATTCTGAAATCTGCATAATAATAACAATAACAATAACACTAATAATAGTGATTTAAATTTTCAGATCTTTGTATTTTCTTTTTTCCGGATTATTATTATTATTATTATTATTATTATTATTATAAACCAATGTCAAAACCTTCAAGTAAATACAAATGAATCAATTGGTGAAATAAATAACTGTCGAAGTACTGTAGCTGAAGTTACTGAGGTGAGCAATGTATGATATAAAATAATTGTATATATAATTATGTAAAAACTATAGTTTATAGCTTGTTAATTTTTTTCAATTATAAAAATCAGATACATTAACATACTTAGATGGGTTAAAAATACATAGACCTATGCTCGAACAAGTAAGAGTGTATCACAGTAGACTACATGCCATGCATATAATAAGCCTAATGTATTAATGAAATTTCAGTTCGTAAACCTTCATATTTGTGGATTAAATGCATTGTACAGTATTTACACGAAACGTCTATAATTACTATTTTTTTATACATTTCTTTAAATGTTAACAAATTTAGGGAGACCCACGCCAACTAGGCCTCCCTCCCGAGTTGAATTCGCCACTGCAATCCATAATAATTTCATTTAGTAAAATCAGTCAAGGACCTTGATTCAGTCATGGCTATCGGTAACTTTTCCGTCGATTTATAATCAGGTGGTGCTGGGTAGGAACAGCAAGATTTCTTGCGCCATTACAAGATATTTGATCGCAGTAGGAAGTTTCTATAAAGAGACTGTAGTCCAGTGGTGGCTTTAGGGAGAAGGGAAGGGACCAGCTAACTTTGGCTTTGAATTTAGGAAGATTGAATTGCGCCTATGTTTATTAATTGAGTGATAATGAATGCAAAATAATATTTTAAAAGAACAACAGGAAAGAAGCATAGATAGGCTTAAATTATTATCTGAAAACTATATAATGATAAATGTCATTATTATATTTTACATTAAAAAAAAAAATATTCAAGAGGTCAAGGTTGACATTGCATCATGAACTACGTGATTTCCAACATTTCTTTATATGAATAGAGTAGAATAGTAGGCCTATTTCAAATTTACCGATAGCAAAAATTTAAACAATCAAATATCAGTTATTATTATATACATTTTAAAATGTCAGCGAGTATTTTACACTATTTGCGAATAAAATATTTTTATTGTATTAGCTACAATTTTAGTGTTTGATAGAAATAAGCATAATACTACAACATAGCTACTATCCAACAGTGAGCAATGCAATTATCAAAACACAATTTCAGTTTACTTCCGTGTTTACATTCCGGGACGTGACGTACGAATTTGTGTATGTACGTATGTGTTGCTTAACAGAGTACGCGCAGGTAAGTTTAGTTAATCATGGTTTAACCAATCAGATGCGCGTGCGGCAAATCAAATTAAAGCGCTTTGTAACCAGGACACTGCACACATATCGTAGGCAATCTAGAGCGTAACAACAGCCCAGTGCCCTTTTTAGTGGGTGTATTTTGGTATAAACCTTTTGTATGTTGTGTAGATAAAATTTTACTATATATATTCATGGGAAAAAGTTTTGTCGGAATTATGTCCAACTTCGGTGTTTCAAATCACTCTTTCTGGAGGACTATCGCCTTTCCTTCGGAGAGGTGAGGTTAAATACTGTACAAGTAGGCCTACACTTCAAATTATCATAAAAGCACTGAAAAATTACTTTTTCGAAGCAAATGGTCGAGAGTCCGAGTATAGTCAATTATTGTACAAATAATGAATGTTCATGAGTCTATCTTTCAACGAATGAAAATATTTTTCCCATTGCACGAATAAAAATTTTTTATTAAGGTAGATTCACACCGAATCCGAATTCAGTTTGTATGCCTAACGAAAAGAAAAAAAAAATGAATCAGTGGTAGAGAATAGAGGTGCGTAGTAGACCCGCATCGAAAACGTTCTACGAATTTCGGTTCGTATCGAGTGTGAATGCAGCTTTATTCGTTTTATAACACACATAAAATTCGCCTAAAACACCTAAAGTACATCCTTGTCATTTGATATTTTATGAATAGATTAGGTCTCCCTTTCGACTGAATGGAACCAATGCAAACATTGCATTTGTTGGAGGTGTACAATGGGACAAAACGAATGGAACAAAATATGTTCGGATGGAATTAAATTTTCATAATTGACGAAATGGCGGAAATAACTAATGTCACGTGATACGAAATATACCAATCAAATTATAAGATTCTATTAAGGCTCGTTATAAAGTAAATTAAAATAAGGTTTACCAGATATTCGCCTTGCACAAATCTGAATGTATCAAGCTGAAAGTACACGTTTTTATTATCGCCTCGAGATTCTGCAAACGATGTAGTGTCGTCAGAAGGGCAGCTATACAATAAAATATAAGATGATTATTATACTATATATATAACGACAAACTGTTGTTGGCCCATAGATAGTCATGATGTAACTTAATAGGTAATGTGATGGTATCATGACCATATTTAGGCATATCGCTTGGTTTTGTCAAATGCAACGTGATAGTCTAGACAGGGCTTTAAATCTATAACACATTTTTAAGGCCTGCGCTTTACATTATTATTACCCCGGTCATTAGATTAGCGGTGGTGATAGAAATTTGTCGACAAGGGGTCCAGAATAAAAATTCCCTTGTAGGGTTCACGGAGAGAGTTTTTATGGCATGTGTGGTCCAAATTGTTCTTTTAGACCAGTGGTTCTCAACCTTTTTGCATTCGCGCACCCCACTGGATCCCCATGTCCAAATAGTACTCATTGTCCATATGCCAACAATAAGATTAGGCCTACAGATAGAAGATGATTCGCCACGAAAGCACAACATTAAACAGTGGTGAATCCTGGAATTCGAAATAGAAACCACCTCAGCCCACCATGGTTGGGGCTGAGGTACAAAATTGTTTATGTCTATGCCACTTCTAGATGGCCGCAAAATGGCACTGTCAGACTCTTCTTCTAACTAGCAGGTGATTTTATTCGTAGATTAGTTTGTTTTTAAGTGTGTAAGTATGATTGATTCGCATGCCAAGTGAAATTAGTACCCTTATTTTGCTTCGTTTTGCCGTACCGTAACTCTTGTTTAGGCCTACCTGTACGCCTAGCCGATACGCAGTGTGGCTCAGCAAAGTTTTGCATTTCTGAGCATGTGCAGATTGTGCTTATCTGGCTCATTAGCATAACAATACCAAACATAAGGCTAATTCAAGTTAGACGGCTTAAACCAGCCTGCTTCCTATCCTGGTTAAAAGTCCTTAGTTACACGTGCACATATTCCTGGCCCTGTTCTGATTGGTCAGTTGTTAATTGTTATTGAAACTCCGGAAACGTTTATTATTAACTAACCTGTATTGGATGAGATCATATCTTGGTGATGTAAATTTATCTGAGCTTGTCGTAGCAACACAAGAATCAATATATAACTTGACGTCTTCAGTGTAAGAAGTTACATGGGCTCCCAAGTAGATTGTCTGTCCAATATCGACAACAACTGGATAATCATTGTCACCGTACGGAAGAGTGAAGTTCCCTTCTTGATACATGTCTAAAGCGAAAGAGAAGTTTCCATCGCTCTCAACTGCATCTCCAATTAGTGAGACCTCTTGCGTATCAAAGTTTATTGATGACTCTCCCGAGTTCTTTAGGTTGCACTTAACTGGAATTACAAGTTGGTGTTCTCTGGAAGTGATATCACTTTCGCCTTTTCGCTTTAGAATCACAGAATTTGAGTACTCGACATAATTCCCTGAAAACTAATAATATAGTGTTATAAATTGGATGTAAATTTTAGAAGCACTCGCGAAAATCCCCCAGCCAACACAAGACGCGGGATGCATGTAGGCCTATGTTTTGTTATGATATTTATGTGAAAATAGCATAGCAAATTGGGGTTTATTAAATTCATCTGATTTTTTTGCAGTACCACCCTCCCCAAAAATAAAAACATCTTGGATCTGCCCCTGATTACATGGTGCACACGCCTATAAACTGTAGAGGAGCTAAAAAAATAATAATGCAAAAGAATTCAACATGTATGTTCTTAAAAGAACAAGGTAGTGAACACAACCTTAATTGCTCCTGTCGAAAAATCATGAAAAAATACAAATGCCTACAGACTGTAGAGAAGCTACAACAAGTAAATATCTACATTCATTCAACATACCTGAACCTGCGTTCCACATCTGTCATACCTTGTTATAAACAAGAGCCACGACATGCCGTCTTTATTTACTTGTCCAATAGAAGTACAGCTGATATTAAGCAAATGAGGAGGAAAGTGACTTTGATCGATGATGGAGCTATCGCCTACTAATATAGTCATGTGTGTGTCGTCACACTGTACATCTAGAATTTATAAAATATTTTAAACGATACGGTATATCAATCAATCATCAGGGGCGGATTTAGGGGGGGGGGGGCCGGCCCGGCCTTGTCATTTGATATTTTATGAATAGATTAGGTCTCCCTTTCGACTGAATGGAACGAAAAAAATGATAGCCCAGAATGCCTCAAATGTTATGTTCGGGCGTCTAGAACACTAAAATTTCGCGGGGCCATGCCCCGGACCCCCTACAACAGTGTTGTCTCAATCAGCCCAACTTTCGGCCCCCCCTTTTGGACATTTCTGGATACTCCCCTGATCATGGACATTAACACACTGTAAGAACAACGTTAAACTTTAAAAGCTCAACAAAATTTTATTCCACTTTTGGTGACGCGATTAAAATTTAAATACGTTTAGCCACAGGTTAATGTGGCTCTATATAAAACACCTAAACACTTGTATTACTTAAAAGGGCAAAAAAAGCGGAGGAAAATTTGCGTTTAGCTTTGTGTTGTGTGAGTGAAAAACGGTTGGGTTGCACCGGGACGACAGAACCCACCAAAAATGGTAACAAATCAAATGACATATTCTATGATATAATATTTTCAACCATTCATGGATAACGTAATTGAAAATAAATTGTAAATATAAATATATTTAAAACTTAATAGATTACCTGCTAGAACATCTTCATCTCCTTGTGGAGTGGTCAAATCTTCATCTTGATGTGTGGTCAAATCTCAATAATAATAATAATAATAATAATAATAATATTGAAGCAGCAGCTGTAATAACTAATAATAATAACAAAAATAATAACAATAACAATAATAATAATAATATAAATAATAATAATTATAATAGGATAATATTGAATTTTATTAATAATAATATTAATAAAACATTTTTAACAGTGTTGTTCACATGCTAAGTTTCAACATCACAATTTTATAATTGAAGTCTAACATTTTACCTTGAGTCGTCACCTGCGTTGTAGTTGATGCAGCAGCTGTAATAATAATAGTAATAATAAAATAATAATAATAATAATAATAATAATAATAATAATAAAAATAATGATAATAGTAATAATAACAATAATTATAATAGGATAATATTGAAGCAGCAGCTGTAACACCTAATAATAATAATAACAAAAATAATAACAATAACAATAATAATAATAATAATAATACAAATAATAATAATAATAATAGGATAATATTGAATTTTAATAATAATAATATTAATAAAACACTTTTTTAACAGAGTTGTTCACATGCTAAGTTTCAACATCACATAATTTTATAATTGAAGTATAACATTTGTGAGGTCTCACTACAAAATGAGTCTCATCGAGTCAAAATAAAAAAATGAGTAAATATTAAATTTTGGTAGATCACGTTATAAGCTTTAATTTGGTCTTTGAATGGCTTCCCTAGGATAAGTAGAGATGTCAGCATTTAAAGTTTAGGTGTATAGAACCAGGTTTTGAGTAAATCGGCCTCAAAGATAAACTAACCTGTACAAATAATAGGACTAGAATTACAGAATGTGCGAAAAGAACACTGTTTTAGTAAGAAAATTCACTTAAAAACTACACAATTAATAAATATAAGTATCAAGTTATTCAAAAACATTAAAATCAAAATTTTGTAAAAATGTTGCCTTTGACCTATTTTGGTGAATATCTCAATATGATTTCACCAACGATGCGTCTCATTTCGTGGTGAAACCTCACATTATTACCTTGAGTCGTCACTGGCGTTGTAGTAGAAGCAGCAGCTGTAATAATAATAATAGTAGTAATAATAGTAATAGTAATAATAATAATAGGAATAGTAATAATAATAATTATTATATTAAAATAAAATTGAAGCAGCAGCTGTAATAACTAATAATAATAATAATAATAATAATAATAATAATAATAATAATAATAATAATAATAACAATAATAATTATAATAATAATAATAGGATAATATTGAATTTTATTAATAATAATAATAAAACACTTAGAAAAAGTTTAACATTTTACCTTGAGTCGTCACCTGCGTTGTAGTAGAAGCAGCAGCTGTAATAATAATAATAATAATAATAATAATAATAACGATAATAATAATAGTAATAATAGTAATATTATTTAATAATAACATTAATAGTAATAATAATAGGCCTAGTAATAATAATAATAATAACAAAAATAATAACAATATTAATAATAATAATATAAATAATAATTATAATAGGATAATATTGAATTTTATTAACGATATTAATAAAACACTTTTTTAACAGTGTTGTTCACATGCTAAGTTTCAACATCCCATAATTTTATAATTGAAGTTTAACATTTTACCTTGAGTCGTCACTGGCGTTGTAGTAGAAGCAGCAGCTGTAATAATAATAATAATGTCATTGTAGTTAATATTTTGAGTGTCTTTGCTGAAGCTGTAGTCCTTGTGAGGAATTATTGTGCAGTGTGATCAATGGTGGATCCAGAATGTTTCAAACGGGGAACAGGGGTGGGAGGTGGGGCGCACAACAGTTTTAGAATAATTTAATAAGCAAATAGCACATATGTTGCATTGAAATTTAAAAAAAATTAGTGGCAAAACGGGGCAGGCAGCCCTTTCCTGTGGCATCCCTCTGGCATCCCTCTCTCCCCTACTGGATCTTCCCCTGTTGTTTTGGGCTACCCTCTTGTAAGTGAAAGTACAGCAATATAGATTTTACCTTGAGTCGTCACTGGTGTTGTAGTAGAAGCAGCAGCAGCTGTAATAATAATAATAGTAGTAATAATAGTAATAATAATAGGAATAGTAATAATAATAATAATTATATTAGGATAAAATTGAAGCAGCAGCTGTAATAACTAATAATAATACTAATAATAATACTAATAATAACAATAACAATAACAATAACAATAATAATAATAATAGGATAAACAATAATAATAATAATAATAATAATAATAGGATAATATTGAATTTTATTAATGATATTAATAAAACACTTTTTTAACTGTGTTGTTCACATGCTAAGTTTCAACATCACATAATTTTATTATTGAAGTTTAACATTTTACCTTGAGTCGTCACCGGCGTTGTAGTAGAAGCAGCAGCTGTAATAATAATAATAACGATAATAATAATAGTAATAATAGTAATATTATTTAATAATAACATTAATAGTAATAATAATAGGCCTAGTGATATTAATAATAATAATAATAATAACAAAAATAATAACAATAATAATAATAATAATAATAATAATAATAAAAATAATAATAATTATAATTGGATAATATTGAATTTTATTAATAATAATATTAATAAAACACTTTTTTAACAGTGTTGTTCACATGCTAAGTTTCAACATCACATAATTTTATTTTTGAAGTCTAACATTTTACCTTGAGTCGTCACCAGCGTTGTAGTTGCAGCTGTAATAATAATAATAATAATAATAATAATAATAATAATAATAATGTCATTGCAGTTAATATTCTTTGCTGAATACTGTAGTCCTTGTGAGGAATTATTGTGCAGTGTGATCAATGGTGGATCCAGAATGTTTCAAACGGGGAATGGGGGTGGGGGGTGGGGCGCACAACAGTTTCAGAATAATTTAATAAGCAAATAGCACATATATTGCATTGAAATATTAAAAAAATTAATACTGTAAAAATAATAATAATAATAGTAATAATAATTATTATTATTATAAGTCGATCGTGACGTCATTACTGTAACTCCTAATGTTATTTGCCTATTCCCCGCGTCCACTAAATTTTCTATTAGTGGACGCTCGGCTTGATTTTTGATTTTTTTTAGGTTCGTGTGCAAAAAAAATTCCTCATTTTTTTCGTCACCGTAATACATCGCGCACAACGATAAAAATTGAATTGTAATTGAAAATTACTTTCGTAAAACAAGCTTAATTAGAACCCGAAGAAAGTAGTATTTCAAATTCAATATTAAGTATGAACAATTAAGAAATTCATTGAATGAATGGACCCTCATAAACACAACAAACTGAACGTTTAATAGGAATATTCTAGATCGCACCTATTTTAAATCAAGGAACAAATTTAGATGTAGGCCTACACGACCAGGCAGGAGGCCGCCAGGGCCTCCTCCTATTACTACTAGTCCGTAGCCTAGCCTTGTTATGAAATCATCGCACGATTTTACCTGTCTGCATGATGCACCGACCAAAAAGGACGTCAGTGACTGTATTCTCTCTCGAATGCTGAAATGTTTATTTCTTTGGCGAAAGTCTATCAAAATAGTATTACAAACAAGTTCTTTCTAACAAAATAGTTATTCATCGTATCCGTACTGTACTGCTGATGTGTAGTTAATTAAACCAAAGCAAAGATACTAGAACTAGAAATTGCAAATTGCAAGTGAAGTGCTGCGAAGTACAACTGCATATAAATGTTCTTCGAACAAAATTATTTATGCGAGTCAAGTGAAAATAATGAATAATAAAACTATAACAAATAATATGAGACACGACCCATTGTCTATATTAGAACACTTCTCTTTGGGTAACAAAGTCGTAATTTTTCATTTTTGTCAAAAAGTGTCTATAGTGTGGTGAATTATAATGTGGTTTAGGTTTTTTTAAATAAAGTTTCAAAAATTTCTATGTATGTGGAAAATGTAGTTGATTACCAAAGGTTACAATTTTTACTTTGAAGACTGCATGGTCTAGGAAGTGTACATTTTTTTTATGGGGCAAGTTTCCAAGGGCGGGTTTTCTAGGGGCGAGTTGACTGCCAAAGAGTGTTGCCAAAGTGCGAGCCAGCGTGTTATTTGATCACAAGTGCGAGACATTGTATGTTGTCATGACAAGATACAATTTGTATTATGTCGA